TGACTTGTGGCTGTTTTATCAGATAGCAGGCTTCTAAACCTTTTTTGGAGTACATTTTCATACATATGTATATACCCACATTCTGTGGATGTGCATTCTGTACGTACAGAAATATTTAGCTGTGGGTATTTTTTTAAATAAGTATTAGAACAAGAGATCTTGTCTTTTCCCCTAGATGTTTAATATTTGAGTCTGAGAGATAAACTGACCATAGAATGTGTACTAGTCTATTTTTCATTACTGTAATGAAGTACCTGAAGCAGGATGACTTTATAAAGAAGAGATCTGTTTAGCTTACAGTTCTAGGGGTTTAAGATCTGGTGCATGCATCAGCTCAGCTCTGATGAGGGTTCTCTTGGCAGTATGACTTCATGACAAGAGCAATGTGTGAGGAGAGATGACATTGCAAATCAGCAAGGCCGAGAGCAACTGGGTGGGGTCAGGGTCAGAGGCAGGCTTTTGTAACAGCCTTCTGAGGAGAGCTAACCTAGGTCTCTTGAGAAAAGTCTCTTAATCTTTTATAAGTACAGCACCTCCGAAGACCTAAGGGTCTCCCCTGGGGCTCACTTTTTTTTTTTTTTTTTTTAAGATTTTATTTATTTATTTGAGAGAGTTGCAGACAGAGAGAGGGAGAGACAGAGAGAAGGGTCTTCCATCTGTTGGGTCACTCCTCCAAAATTGCCACAACATCAGAGCTGAGCTGACTCAAAGCCAGGAGCTTCTTCCGGGTCTCCCATGTGGGTGCAGGGGCCCAAGCACTTGGGCCATCTTCCACTGCTTTCCCCAGGCCATACAGAGAGCTGGATTGGAAGAAGAGCAGCCAGGACTTGAACCAGCGCCCATCATGGGATGCCAGCACTGCAGGTGAAGGCTTAGCTCATTGTGACACACTGCTGCCCCCCATTTTTAAGGCAGAATTAGATAGGGAGAGACAGAGATCTCCCATCCGCTGGTTCATTCCCCAGGTGGCCGCAACAGCTGGAGCTAGGCTGGTCTAAAGCTAGGAGCCAGGAGTTTTTTTTTCCCATGTGGGTCTCCCATGTGGGTGCAGAGGTCCAAGGACTTGGGTCATCCTCTCCTGCTTTCCCAGGCACATTGGCAGGAAGCTGGATCGGGAGTGGAGCAGCTGGGACTTGAACTGGCATCCATAGAGGATGCTGGTGTTGCAGGCAGTGGCTTTACCTGCTACACCACAACACCGAACTTGGGATCACTTCTTTTTTTAAAAGATTTATTTATTTGAAAGGCAGAATTGCAGAGAGGAAGAGAGAGAGAGAGAGAGAGAGAGAGAGAGAGAGAGAGAGTGAGAGAGTGAGTCTTTCATCCGCTGGTTCACTCCCCAGTTGGCTACAATGGCCGGAGCTGTGCTGATCCAAAGTCAGGAACCAGGATCTTCCTCTGGGTCTCCCATGTAGGTGCAGGGCCCTAAGGACTTGAGCCATCTTCTACTGCTTTCCCAGGCCATGGCAGAGAGCTGGATCAGAAGTGGAGCAGCCAAGACTAGAACCGGTGCCCATATGGGATGCTAGCACTGCAGACGGTGGCTTTACCCACTAAGCCACAGCACTGGCTCCCTGCAATCGCTTCTTAAAGGCCCACATCTGGGGGGCCAGCCTATGGCTTAGCAGATTAAGTCACTGCCTTCAATGACACCTGCATCCCATATCAGATTGCCTGTTTGAGTCCCAGATGTTCCACTTATAATCCAGCTTCCTACTAATATGCCTGGGAAAGCAGTACTACCACCCACATGGGAGACCAGGATGGAATTCTTGGGTCCTGGCCTCCGTCTGGCCTAGCCCCTGAAATTTGGTCGGTTGGTATGTCTGTCTGTCTCCCTTTGCCCGCCATCCCCATTATTTTGCCTTTGAAAGCAATAAAATTTTCATTTTGAAAATTTATTAAATTAAGAGGCAGAGTTATACAGAGAAATGAGAGATAGAGAAATAGAGAGGTCTTTTATCCACTGGTTCACTTCCTAAATGGTCACATGGCCAGGGCTGGGCCAGGATGAGCCTGGAGCCAGGAGCTTCTTCGAGGTCTCCCACTTGGGTGCAGGGGCCCAAGCACTTGAGGCATCCTTTGATGCTTTACCAGACACATTAGTAGGAAACTGGATCGGAAATGGAGCAACTAGGACTCTAACCGGTACTGATATGGGATGTGAGTGCTACAGGCAGCAGCTTTAATCACTATGCCACAGCGCTGGCCCTTATAAAATGCTTTAAAAAAAATCTCCCAGCACTATCATCTTGGGACCACATCTAATTCATGAACTTTAGGGGACAGCCACATCCAAACCATAGCAGAGTGATTAATTGGAAAAAAGGCACACACATTTATTATTTGCACAGGAGTATCACAAGAAAGTGAGTAAGTATTCTATACCCCAAAGAGGGTTAGAAGTTTATGTACTGGGGCCAGCACTGTGGCGCAGCGGGTTAATGCCCTGGCCCTGAAGCACTGGCATCCCATATGGGTGCCGATTCTAGTCCCGGCAGCTCCACTTCTGATCCAGCTCTCTGCTATGGCCTGGGAAAGCAATAGAAGATGGTCCAAGTCCTTGGGGCCCTGTACCCATGTGGGAGACCTGGAAGAAGCTCCTAGCTCCTGGCTTCTGATTGGTGCAGCTCCAGCCATAGGGGCCAGTTGGGGAGTGAACCAACGGATGGAAGATCTCTCACTCTCTGCCTTTCCTCTCTGTGTGTAACTCTGACTTTTAAGTAAATAAATAAATCTTAAAAAAGTTTATGTACTTCTATTCTTATTTTTTTAAAGATTTATTTTATTTTATTTGAAAGAGTTAGTTGCAGAGAGAGGTAGAGACAGAGAGAGAGGTCCTCCATCTGCTGGTTCACTCCCCAGATGGCTGCAACGGCCGGAGCTGCGCTGATCTGAAGCTAGGAGCCAAGGGTCTCCTCTGGGTCTCCCACGAGGGTGCGGGGTCCCAAGGACGTGGGCCATCCTCCACTGCTTTCCCAGGCCATAGCAGAGAGCTGGATCGGAAGAGGAGCAGCTGGGACTCGAACTGTCTCCCATATGGGATGCTGGCACTTCAGGTCAGGGCTTTAACCCGCTGAGCCACAGTGCTGGCCCCTATGTACCTCTGTTCTTAGGAGAGAGGAAATGGTGAGCCGCCAATTATAGAGAAGATGTAGATGATTTTTAGGGGAGCTGCATGGGCTTGATGATGGTCTGAGTAAAGTTCCTCTGAGATCTAGATGTGGTGTTTGTCGATCTCTTGTTCTGTGGTTTGAGTTTAATCTTTCTTCCTTGATGAAATAACAGGAAAGGGAAAGCAGGCACTTGTGTTCCCTTTTGGTGGATCCAGTCCTTAGGTAATAGGGGAACTTTAGGGAAAGCCCCTCTCTGTGCTTTGGGGGAGGAAAAGGAATCAGAGATGGAGGCAGGAGAAAGGAGATCTTGGTTCTGAGACTGCTTTTTAGTTGAGAATACTCAGTATATCAAGTGTCATACCTTGGGGTTATTTTCTGAATCTGAACCTAAGTGTAACAGACTTATATTGTATGTAGTTTCATTGTAGTTGCTCTTTTCTTTTACCTTATGTTTAGTAGCTTGTTTTATGTAAATATGTAGAATTCTGTCTTTTTTCCTTTTATGATTTGTTTATTTTCATTTTATTTGAAAGGCAGAAACAGACATACAGAGTTCTCCTATCTGCTGATTCATTCCCCAAATGTCCTTGACAGCTGGACTGGGCCAGGCTGAAACCAGGAACCAGGAACTCTATCTGGGTCTGCCATGTGGTGATAGAGGCCCAAACACTTGAGCCAACACCACTACCTCCCAGGATACATTAGGAGTGAGCTGGAATAGAGAGTGGAGCCAGGACTTGAACCCAGGCACTCCAGTGTGGGATGCAGATGCCTCAAGCATTGGCTTAACCTCCGTGCCAAAATGTCTACCCATGTGTTTTTCATTTAACGCTGCTTGGCGTAGATCATAGTATGGACCTACTTTTAAATTTTTTAAATTTACTTAAGGGAGACACACATTCCCCAAAAGTCTGCAACAGCTGGGGCTGGACCATGTCTGAAACTGGAAGCTGGAAATGCAATCCATGTCTCCATGGGGGTGGCTTAGTTAATTGTAGCCTCCCAGAGTCCATATTAACGGGGAGCTGGAGGCAGATACTCTACTAGGTCTAACACCTATCCTGGACGTACTTTTATATGGCTTTCAATACCATACAACTACATAGAATGCCTCGTTGCTCTTTGTGTGTAATTTGAGTATTTTTCTAAGGTAGATTTTGAGAAGTAAAATAAACACAATTTTAGAACATTGTTTACTCATGTAAAGTATTACTGGTTTTAGATTTCCACTTTATAATCCCATCAGTGGTTTAGAGGAATACTCGTCGCTTTGCCCTTTCATCCGGTCTGGACATTTTTAATCTTGAAATGTTTTGCCAGTCTGTGGGTGTAAATCATTTTTGTATACAGTTCCCTGATTATTAGTGGTATTGAACTATTTTTTCTTTTTCTTTTCTTTTTTTTTTTTTTTTTTTTTGACAGACAGAGTGGACAGTGAGAGAGAGAGAGAGACAGAGAGAAAGGTCTTCCTTTGCCGTTCGTTCACCCTCCAATGGCTGCCACGGCCGGCGCACCGCGCTGATCCGATGGCAGGAGCCAGGTACTTTTCCTGGTCTCCCAAGGGGTGCAGGGCCCAAGCACTTGGGCCATCCTCCACTGCACTCCTGGGCCATAGCAGAGAGCTGGCCTGGAAGAGGGGCAACTGGGACAGAATCCGGCACCCCAACCGGGACTAGAACCTGGTATTCCGGCACCGCTAGGCGGAGGATTAGCCTGTTGAGCCGTGGCGCCTGCCGGTATTGAACTTTTTAATATTTCTGTTAATATATCATTTATTTTTAAAAACATTTATTTGAAAGGCAGAGTTACACATAGAGAGAGGGAGAGGGAGAGGGAGGGAGGGAGGAAGGGAGGGAGCGAGGGGGGGGGGAGAGAGAGAGAGACAGACAGACAGACAGACTGACTGAGATCTTCCATGCACTGGTTCACTTCCGAAATGGCCACAATGGCCAGATCTGGGCCCAGCCAAAGTCAGGGTCCAGGAGCTTACTCTTGGTCTACAAAGTGGGTGCAGGGGCCCAAGCTCTTGGGCCATCTTCTGCTGCTTTCCCAGGCATTAGCAGGGAACTGGATTGGAAGTGGAGCAACAGGGACTCAAGCTGGTTGCCTATATAAGATGTTGGCACTGCAGATGGTGGCTTAACCTGCTACGCCACATAATTGGCCCCCAGTATTTTATTTCTTAACATAGTATCTTTATTTCTCTGGAAAATAATTAATGTTGTATAATTCTAGGAAAAGTCCTGTTTTTTTTTTTTTAATTTTTTATTTCCTTAGTTCTTTTTTACTGTGTTAAAAGCTCAGAAAAGCCAGAATGAGTTTGAATAGCTGAGGTTCAGTTGTTTCTGGGGTGAGTCAGTTTTAAATTTATATCTCTGTGGCTAAGAATCATTTGCATCACTACACAGTTGAGTATCCCTATCCTAGAATTCCAAAGTTGTAAATGCTGCAAAATCTGAAATTTGTTGACAACTACATGACATTACAAATGGAAAATTCTATACCTGACTTTATGTGACAGGGTCATAGTAAAAATGCAGGTTCTTGAAAAATGTATGAAATTACCTTCAGACTTTGTGTTTAAGGTGTATATGAGACAGATGAATTTTGAATGAAGACTTGGGTCTCATCCCCAAGATGTCTCATGTATGTGTAAAAATTGCAACAGCTAAAAAAAATCCAAAATCCAAAACACTTCTCATTCCAACCAGTTTGGATGACATTTTCAAAGACAATGAAGGCCTAGAATACAGAATGAGATTACCCCTCAGGATATACCAGACAACACCTCTACTGCACAGCACACCCAGCCATCTTTAACTCTTTTTGTGACAGAAAATAACATTTAAAGCTTAGAACTCAGTACTTGGGAGCATTTTTATAGGAGTTCAATAACTGATTGAATGGAAATGCGTTTAAGTATGTTCATTTAGTTCTCCTATCTGGAGAAACAAGCATATTCTGAGAAAATAGGCTTATTTTGATTACGTGGTTATTGTATGCTGTTAGATTAGGATTAGAAAGTAGGTCCTAAGCGTGGGATTCGGTGTCCTTGCAAATGGCTGCACTAGGTGTTTTCTTTCATAGTGTGAATTGTGTGAAAATGCCTAAATTAAAAAATTGTGCTCTGCTATGGTAGTAAATGTAATTTTGTTGCTTGCAGTTTTAAGGAGTGATGATGCTGTTTCTTCCCGGGAATAGGGATCTTTGCACACTGATAAAGCAGGCTAGCATATTCAGCGTATATTTCAGCTAGCATAATCCATTGCCTTAAAAAACATTTTTATCTGCTTTTTAGCTTCAGGGTTCATCAAAAATTTCTTCTTAAGAGCTGAAAAAATATGCAGGGGCTGATGTAGAATGCAAAATGAAGGAGAAGCTTAGCTTTGCTGTGGAGTCTGAGCTGGGTGTAACCTAACTAGCTAGAGGATATGTAATTCCTGATTGACAGCAGGACCAGCATTATGCAGATTTTGTAAGGGAGAACACTCAGCTCAGAAATAGTGATTAGGGGCTCTGTTAGGAATCACTGCATTCACCACTCCTGTCTTTCAGTTTTCTGTCTACTGAATTTGTAAACAACCAGCACAAAACAGTTCCTCTTTTGTTTTTATTAAAGTGATATTGCAGTGCAGTTTCAGTCTATCAACCAGGAATACATGTGTGGAAATGCAATATTTTCACTTAATTACCTTATTTTTAGCTGAGTTCCATGCTTATCTGTAGACCTTTGTGCATTAAATCCTATCTCGAGCCGTTCTCTTTATACACAAGTGTGTTTTGCTTGTGCCTTCCTGTCTTCTTCAGTGGGAAGCTTTATGTAGGTCAGGCTTGGCTTAAGCAGATTTCCTGAACCTGCGTCAGCTTAAGCTGGAGGAATTTTAATAAACCCTCCCCTGTAGGCGTGGGCCTAAATGAAGCTAGCCTAGTTAAGCCTGATCTTTTTCTGTTTGTGAAAAGAGCTGAACAGAGCTGAAGGCTGCATGGTGGCTTCAGGAGCTGCCTACTTAATTTGAAGAGAACAATGGTAGGAAAGGCTAGATCTTCCAATTTTACCTTATCTGAAAAGCTTGATTTGCTAAAGCTTGTGAAGCCATATGTGAAAATTCTTGAAGAACACACTAATAAACATTCAGTAATAGTGGAAAAGAATAGATGTTGGGATATCATAGCTGTTAACTATAATGCAATTGGAGTAGACCGCCCTCCTCGAACAGCGCAGGGCCTACGCACCCTTTACAAAAGGCTCAAAGAATATGCCAAACAGGAGCTATTGCAGCAAAAAGAGGCCCAATCAGATTTTAAAAGCAATATTTCTGAGCCAACCAAGAAAGTTATGGAGATGATTCCCCAGATTTCCAGTTTTTGCCTGGTAAGAGACAGGAACCACATACAAAGGTAAGCTTTATTTTATTTTGTTGTGGAAAATTATGGCGCCTCCTATCTATTGGGCTGTGGCTTAGTTGTGATAGAGATATGCATAGTAAGATCCCCACCACGGGAGCAAAGAATGGTGTCTTTGTTTTGTATTCTTAAAAAAGAAAAGTGAGGCTATAAAGAATTTTTCTGTTGCATTTGATTTAAGCCACTTTTTACTGTCTCTCCCTCCCCCCTTCCTCCTGTAGTTTCTAAAAGTAAACGTTATGGAGGAATAAATGGGATGAAATTTGTGACATCTCTTCATAAACTTGAAGCTTAAAATGAAATTATTTAATTTGCTTCCGAGAAATCTTTTTCTTAATTCATTTAATATTATATTTAATTGGATTTTTAAATTTTATATAGCATTTATATAGTTTCAGGAGGAATGAAACCTTTTAAAAAGAATTATCTCTGTATACTTACATGCAATGAACTAAAATCAGTAATTAAACTTATAAATGACATTATATAGATGAAAAGTCTTAAGTTATTTTTCTGACATCAAATAAATTAGATGAACACAGCTAATGGATGTTAATACCTAGTTCTCCAATTATCTAATAAAATGAAAAGTTTTTTGTTGTTTTTATTAATTAATGGTTTAGTTTCACTTTGATCCTGGGTCATACAGGAAAAGGTGAGCTTTCTTAGTACTTTGCAAGGATATCAAACTCTGAATGTTAATACATCCCTAAGAGCTACTGGGATTCTTTTGGAGTCAAACAATTTTTGGGTTAACTTTATATTCTGACTGTTTGCCTGGGAGTCTTTCAAACTATTACCTTGCCACTAATTCAAATTCTGACTCCTGGCAAAAAATTAAAAATGGCAGCTACATCCTTCTGAACCATTTAAAAAGTGTAAACTCCTAGTTAAGGGGCTTTTCAAACAAAATTTAGCACATGTGTTTTCTTACTGGTGGAGGAAGTATTTATGTAAGCAAAATTATTACCTATGAAATCCCTTTCAAGTTAGGAGAGAAATGTTGTGTGTGGGGGAAGAAAATTTTCTGCCAAAAAGTATCTGTTGTTTAATGACCTATTAGAAAAATAAACCAGCTTCTTACCTGTATTGCTTATTTCGACTTGATAATCCAGTAAAAAAATATTACCAGTGAGAACCCAGGATAGGCGCACACATTGGATAACTTTTTAGGGCCACTGGTTAAGATGTTCATTTATGTCAGTAGTACTGATTCAGAATATTTGCCCCCAACCCCTTCTCACCTGACTACTGAACTGTAGACAAAATAGCTTTTGGCATTGCAGCTATAAAACTCTATCTTTTGGGTATTAAGTATGGGTTTTTATAATTTGAAAACCTCACATGGAAATTGTAGTCTTAGTTGAATGTGTATTTAAAAATATAGAATTAATTTATAAATATACAAATGTCTATTTACATTTCATCTGTGTATGCATTCATCACATTCACATAATTTTTTTGGACATCAACATTTCTTTGATGAAAGTAAGCTCAATGATTTATGCTTTTCTATATATACTGTTAAAATGATACCAGTTTTTCAGAAAGAAAATATAAGAAATATGTGACTTAAATTCTTATGTTAGTATATCTACACTGATACTTTTTCTGTGTTAACTTATTCATTTAATATACTTACATATTTAATATGCTTATATGAATTGACATCTTGATGCTTAATAATTACCTCAGAAGTTTGTAATTACTCCATAATCTTAAATGCTTCTACATAAATATTCTTGTTAATTTCACCAACTCTCCCTCTTTAATAAGAAAGGTATTATTGCCTGTATTATATATTTTAAAATAAATACCCATTTTGTAAGGCTGTTTCTACAGTTCACACTGATTTGTCTTTATTTTCACCTCTCCCTAATATCAGATTATTCTTTGTGTTTTCATAGACTATTTGATTCTCAAAGTTCAGATTCATAAATTTTAGAAGCCCTTCTCTGTTTTATCATTTTTGTCACTTTCTCCAAAGCTTTTTTTTTAAATCTCTGTTATGCCTTACTTATAATATTTCAACTAAAATGGGGAATCCAGATATAAGGAATAATTTTAATTAGCATGAGAATACTATGTTTATGTTTATACTCTATTATACATACTAATTTAGAGTAATACAGATTTTTAAAAAATATTTTTAAAAAATTAATTTTCATCTGTCACTAACTTTTCTCATTTCATATTTTAACAGATGTTAAAAGAAGCAAATCTTGCTAATTTGAATTGCATTTATAGGCCATTGTTTTGTTTTTGGAAATCATAAAATGACCAAAAAAGATAAGAACAAAAGTGAAGTAATTTGTATTACCAAGAAATAGATTTTTCATTAATATACTATATAACTTGTTTTATTTGTATCTCTTAGACAAATATCTGATATTTCTGGCAATTTTATGCCTTTAGTAAATGCCATTGGGAATTTTAATTTTTTTCTTATGTTGTACTTGAAGTTGTTACAACTTTTAATCATTCATATAATTCATTTATCATTTGTAAAATGATCTATAAATTATTTTTTAAAAGATTTATTTATTTATTTGAAAGTCAGAGGTAAACAAAGAGAGGAAAGGCAGAGGGAAAGAGAGAGGTCTTCCATTTGCTGGTTCACTCCCCAAGCTGGGCTGATCCAAAATTAGGATCCACGAATTTTTTCTGGGTCTCCTATGTGGGTTCAAGGGCCCAAGGACTTGGGCCATCTTGTACTACTTTACCATGCCATAGCAGAGAGCTGGATCAGAAGTGGAGCAACCAGGACTCAAACCGGCGCCCATATGGGATGCTGGCACTGCAAATGGTGGCTTTGCCTGCTATGCCACAGTGCTGGCCCCTATAAATAATGTTAAAAACATTTTCATTAATATTCCAGTTATGTGTTCCCCTTTGTAACTTTACTTTTAAGTTAGTCTGAAGCATAATTAAAGAAAAAACCCTCAAGAAGCAATATTATAGTAATCTTGCATGTGAAATTATATTTAATTAACAACTTTAAGGTGCATTGCCTTTATAAAATCGTAACAAATATATAAAAGCTTAATTTATGTGAAAATTAGTTGTGTCTAACAGGAATACATATTTTATGGAAATCATGTGTAAATTGAATAATATTAAATATATAGGCCATTTAAAAACATTTCATTTAAAAAATAATTTCACCAAAACTATCAGTGCCCACTACCCCCATCACCAGCACCAACGTCAATGTCACCATTACCAATGCCACTGCTGCCAACACCAGCATCACCACCTCTGCTGCTACCACCACCATCAATACAAAAAAATTAAAATAATCATTTCATGTTTTTAAATTTTTTTAGATCTATTTATTTACCTGAGAGGCAGAGTTAGAGAGAGAGAGAGAGAGGGAGGGAGGGAGAGACAGAGAGAAGGGTCCTCCATCTGCTGATTCACTCCACAAATGACCACAATGGCTGGAACTGGGCCGATCTGAAGCCAGGAGCTTCTTCCAGGTCTCCCACGTGGGTTCAGGAGCCCAAGCACTTGGGCCATCTTCTGCTGCCTTCCCAGGGTATCAGCAGGGAGCTGGATCAGAAGTGGAGCAGTGGAGTAGTGGAGACTCGAACCGGCACCCAAATGGGATGCTGGCACCACAGGTGGATGCTTAACCTACTATGCCACAGCGCTGGCCCTCATTTGTTCTTCTGTTTTGTCATTCAATATCCAAGGAGTATCTACTAGGTTCTAAGTACAGTACTGTATAATGCTAGGTGGTGGGTATTCAGTGATGGATAAAAACCCTTAATGTTAGGAATTTTACCTAATCATTGAAATCCTTAAAGAGCAATTGAGTCATGTGGTTCAGAATATATAAAGGGGAAATATCATTGCATCCGAAATAGGGTAGAATAACCTTCTGATACAGGTATACCCTAAAGACATAAAAAACTAATGCTTTCTCTGTCTCTGTCTCTGTCTCTCTCTTTTTTTTTTTTTTTTTTTAACAAATGTAGGTATCAGTACCTCCCATTGATGGTCTTGCACTGTCTTTTAAGTTTCAGATCCTGGTAGTTTTTGGATCAGTCCAGGAGGGCCGAAGGAGGAGATCTAGGGCTAAGGCACGGGGGTGGCAGAGCTTAGAAGGTCCTTTACCATATTTAAGAACCCAAGGGTTGAAGGGACAATTTGATTTCTCTTTGAGATTGGTACAGATAGCTTTTATTTTTTATTTACCATGTTGGCCTCATGTAATATTTGTAATTTCCTGCCTTTTGAAAGTGTAGTCTTTGCCACTTTAGTTTGTTATTCCACTGGGTAAACTTTTTTTGCTTTATGATTTTCTTTACAGTTTTAAAACCTTGTAATTTAATGGATATTAAATATGAAATTATGCTCTAAGTATACTCTTATCTTCATTTGATTTACATTTTATAATGCTTTTTTGTGTGCTATAGTGCAAACTTGGATGAGGAGGCACAGGCTGGTACCAGTTCTCTACAGGTAATGTTGGACCACCATCCTGTTGCCATTACAGTAGAGGTGAAGCAAGAAGAAGACATTAAGCCACCTCCTCCACTGGTTTTAAATCCTCCACAGAGTGATGCTTTAGAGCAAAGAGAAGAGAATGAATTAGTGCATGCCATGGAAAGATCTGTGTCGCCATCCCTCTCCTCTGTTGACATGAGAATGACGTCGTCTCCATCTCCTGTCCCAAGGAGAGATGATTTTTTTCGGCATGAGAGTGGAGAACACTTTAGGTCACTTTTAGGGTGCGATCCTCAGATCCTGCAGATTTTGAAAGAGGAGCATCAGGTAATTTTAGAAAATCAAAAAAATTTTGGGTTGTATGTTCAGGAGAAGAGGGATGGATTGAAAAGAAGGCAGCAGCTAGAGGAAGAGCTACTAAAAGCAAAAATTGAAGTGGAGAAGCTGAAAGTAGTTCGCTTACGGCATGGTCTACCTGAATATAATAGTTTCTAAAATTTTTTTTTTCAGGCTCGCAATTTGATAGTTTAAATTTTAGCTAGATTGCTTTAATTCAGGAATACCCTGATGCAGAACACATATCCTTGGAAAATGTAATTAATCTCTACTATGGAAAAACTGTTTGACTTTTTTCTAGTTATTTAATTTTCTTGTAATGTATTAAAACTTGCTGATTGATTGGCACAGTTAAATTTTTCATTGTCTTCTCCCATTTTTTTCCTAAGAAATTAATTGTTGACCTTACAAAGGGTGCTTTGTGTCAGTCATTAAAATACACATAATACATACACAAACACATTCATATTCTTTGAAAATTCTGAGTCTTCAATATATTTAATTGGAACTTTGAAAGCTATAGCTAAGATTTTCAGTCTAATTTAGAAGCTATCCTCCTCTAATAACAAGAAGCTTATCTAACGTTGGTTTTCATGATTTCATCCTTTGAAACAGAAGTCCAAGTTTTCCTTACCTCTTTGGAGGCAAGGAAATGGAGATACAGGGAGAGAACTCAGTGACTTATCTGAGGGAGCAAAGCTGTTTATGGCAGAGCCAGCAGCAGTATTCAGGTTTTCTTTGTGTAATTTTTCCCTTTGCTCTTCTACAGAACTAAAAATCCACAAAAGTTTGTCTAGATTTAAAAATTAGAAGAATTTATTTCATTACAATTGCCTCTAAAATTTGTTAGGTTATAAAATTAAGGGAATTGTATCACTACCCCATCTCCCTTCTCTTTTCTGTCCAGAAAAATAAGATAATAGTCCATTGAAGGTATTATGTATTTGAGCTGTAAGGTTTAAGGTTGTGTCTTAACTCATTTTAAATGTTTTATTCAGAAAGCAGTTTGTTTCACAGTAAAAATTAAAAACTTAAAATTTTACTGAGCATGATATAACAAAAATCATGTTTATAATATATGATATAATCCATAGTCATTTTTTTTGTAAATCTTGCTATTTTAATACTTACAAAAGCTTGATTCTTAAAGCACACTTAATTAAATTTATGTTAAGTCTTTAATGTGCATTACTTAAGAATTTCTATTTTTGCTGTGATTTTGTTGGGGAAGGATTTTTTTTTTTTAATTTATTTGACAGGTAGAGATGTAAATAGTGAGAGAGAGATACAGAAAAGTCTTTCTTCCGTTGGTTCACCCCCCCCAAATGGCCACCATGGCCGGCGCTGCGTCGATCTGAAGCCAGGAGCCAGGTGCTTCTTCCTGGTCTCCCATGCGGGTGCAGGGCCCAAGCACTTGGGCCATCCTCCACTGCACTCCTGGGCCACAGCAGAGCTGGACTGAAAGAGGAACAACCAGGACAGAACCCAGTGCCCATATGGGATGCCGGCGCCACAGGTCGAGGATTAACCAAGTGAGCCACGATGCTGGCCCCCGGGGAAGGATTTTAGACAAAGCTTTAGAATGAGATAAGTTGAATTTTAGCAGTATATGGAGAAAATACTTCGAGTGAGCAGCTTCAGAAAAAGAAAGAATGGGAAAAAGTAGATCAGGGAATGCAAGCATAAATGCAGTGCTAAGCCAGGGGATTGTTAGGGAGCATAGACAGATTTAGTTTGGGCTGTGGTAATCTGGTCTAGGGCTTCTCCCTGGACTAAATGGGGTGGCTGCTGTTTAGCTCCAGGAGAATTTTTACATGCAGGAATAGGAACCTGCATTTTTTATGTGAAATTTTCTTATTTTAAAATGTTTGCAAATACTTAAAAATGCTTTTAAAGAACTCTATAGACAGCTTATCAGTGGGCCTCATTTGGCCAATGAGGTTCCAGTTTGTGGCCTTTGGAGTAGAGCAGTGGTTTTCTGTGTGTGAGTCCTGACCAGCAGCATCAGCATTACTTGAGAGCTTGTCAGAAATGTAAATCCATTCTAACTGAATTATGAACATGGGATGCTATCTAGCAGTCTGTTTAACTAGGCCCCCTAGAGAGTCATGGTAGCTAAAGTTTAACAACCAATGAAATAGAGTTTTTTGGAACTGACCTTGATGCTTAAGTCATCATAGATTCTTAAAAATTTTTGTTGAAAGAGTGGGAGAAGGTGAACTGAGGGCAATTGATTTGGGTGTTGGTTGATAACAGATTATGGATTACATTGGGTATTACTCATAAGGAATTAGATTAAACTGAGTGTATGATGGGAAGCCATTGAAGGCTTTTTTTAGGGGAATGATATTATTATAGTTGTGGTTCAGTAATAGTGTTATAATAGTATTTAAAAGCAGGCAGTTTAGTGAGAGGAAATTATATCAGAAATTTAGGTTATGGCTATAGAAATAGAAAAAATAAACATGAAATGAATTCTTAGGATAGTGTTTTAGGCTGCTGATTACTCAGTTTTATTGATTGAATTAAAAAGGTGTTTTATAGCTTCTTAGGGTTCATTTTTTGTTATAAAAATGTGTTGAATATTTGCGGAGTCTTAAAAAAGTTCATGGAATATCTGTATTATGAAAAAAACTATGCATGGATTTGAAAAAATTTTTGCACCAAAATAAATGTCTTTTAATTCCATTTTTCGCAAACTTTTGAAGTACCCTTGCATATGATATGTCCTTCAATGATTTTATCTTCTCTCTTTAATTTGTGCTGTGACTTTCCTTTGTGTGTACTGAATCTTTTGAGGTTATGTTTTTTATAATATAATCCTAGTAAATACGTCTTTATAATAATTTTAACTTTTTGAAATTATCAAAAGCATATTACTATACAAAATGTAATTCATATTATAATTTCAGCATGCTACTGTTAAAAGTTTATAATGAATATTTAACTTGAGTGTTGACATGTATAGTAAAATCAGTTTTTCAAAGAATGTTCTATGGAATATTTCTGTGAGATGTTTCTAGAAAGTAGTTCTGTATTCAAAAAAAGTACAACATATTTTTTGGTGGTTAGGTTCTAAAATTAGTGTGGAAGTTAAAAATTATGTATACACAGAATTGCCCTTGAAAATTCCTTTGCTCATAAAATAGTATAAACATATTTATAGTAGTATAATTTATTTTTTCCAGCATTGTTAAAGGTAGCTTTTTCTTTTGTTATATCCAGTGGTACAGTTCGTTAGCATTAGGAGACCTGTGTAAAATGAGAACCCTTACTTTTACATGTTTGTAAACACCAGAATTACACTCAATGCTGTGAGTTTACTGCAGCAATTTTTTTCCAAGTGAATATTGTTTAATTTTAATTTGCAAAAGTTTAAATGCATATAATTCTGGTCCATTTTCTGCCTACTTTCCCTGTGAAACTAAATAGCCTGATATAATCTTTGAAAATTTCTGCAAAAAGAAAATTCCCAACTTGGTCACAGAACCCTTTCTAGAAGGCTATTAATATTTCTACAGAGTGTCTTAGGGATTCTGACCTAAACCTTTATTTTCCTTCTTTTTGATACTGAGAAATTTTTTGAGTTTGGAGACTGCTTACCAACTTACATTAGCAGTTTTTGCTGAGGACAGGTTTCTGTAAGGGGAATGTATAGGGAAGAATTCTGCTGGAACCAATGGAATATGCACAGAAGCCACCAGGCATCCTGCATACTATAAGGAACTGTGTGATGCCAGTTTTACCTACAAAATGTAATGATAGGAAAACAAAGAGTGATTTTGTTTTTGTTTTAGACTTAATTCTATTGGAATATATTCAATTTGATAGGCTAAGTCAAAAGATTATTTCATACAATATGTTAGTAATTTAGATAGCAGATAGATAAATTTTGCCACTTTTCTGTTAACCATATGAATGTCAATGGATATGTTGTTATTCTAAACTAGGTAGGATTTGTAATGACTTCTTGAGAAAAATTAATTTAACTCTTTGATCTCTAACCCTTGCCGGATTTCTTAAAATATTTAAATTCTTTTCTCTCTTGTGTAATGAGACATTTACTTGGTATTACTTCATTTTTGAAAGAGTTTCATCTTTACTTATGTGAAAAATGTTTAAAATATGAATTATTTTTCATGTGCCTTCTTTTAGAGTCATGTCAGATTTTAAATAGACATGTTTAGTAACTTAGAATATAATAAATTGTATTGAAAATATAGATGATGATGGTTACATTCTTTGTTAATCCATGTTCATTTAAATACAAGAAAAATTCATTGTACTGATCTGTGTACTCTTTTTGTGTCTCATAACATTGTGAGGTAGCCCCTGGCTAGGCTTGGTCCAAATTCTTTTCTCCAAGTAAGAAGGAATTCAAGGAGGAAATGTAGATAAAGGTCAACAGAGAAGCAAGATTTATTAATAAAGGCAAAGTGGAACCACATACTCAGTGAGGAGTGGGTGCAAACTCAGGAGTGAGAGCTACAGTGAACAGTTCAGGGCTGAACTTTTATACCATCTAGAGGCATAGGGGTTGGTGTCTGGAGCTGGGCTCGATTGAGTAGTATTCCAAGGAGGCCGAGTTTGGGGTGAGGGGAGGAGGGAGACTTGTGTACCACCCAGTTCTTTGCCCTTTTTTGAAAATCTCTCAAGTGTCTTGGCATCAGGTACATGATGGGAGTGGGAGTGTTGGCTATGGTAACTTTATTATAATGACATTTAAATGACCTAAAGGCAGCCTGCAACTATATTGAGTATTTGGTACTCTTTCAAAATGATGAAATCACAAATCTATTGTTTCCCACTGCACATAATGGGGAGGGGCTTGGTGAGGCTCAGAAAGGGGGTTTGTGTGGTAAACAGAAAGGGAATGGTTTCGGGTGGTTCAGGGAAGTGGAGTGGTTTGAACTGCATGGGTTGGGGCTGCTGTGGGTCTTTTATCCATACTTGTCTGCCTCTCTGCCCAATCAGTAAGACAATTTTTTCCTCCCCTCTGCTCTCATCCTTTTCTCTCTCTTTCTTTCGAGATTTATTTATTTATTTGAAATAATTAGGGAGATAGAGATCTTCCATCTGCTGGATCACTCCCAAGATGGGACACAGTGGCCAGGGCTGGACCAAGCTGAAGCCAGCTGCTAGGAGCTTCATCTGGGTCTCCCATGTGGATGGCAGACACTTGGGCCTCTTCTGCTGCTTTCCCAGGTCGTTAGCAGGAAGCTGGATCAGAAGTAGAGCAGCTGGGACTCAAATTCTCAAAATCAAATATTTGATGGTGAATTTGGTTGTAAATACTTAAAAACAATTAGATGAAGTATTGATGCATACTTAACAAATACAAAAGAGCAATTTTTTAAAGAAAAATTTATTTCATTTATTTGAAAGAGTTATATCAAGATCTTCTGTCCACTGGTTCACTTCCCACATGGCTGAAATAGCCAGGGCTGGGCTGGGCTGAAGTCAGGTATCTGGGACTCCATCCTGGGTTCCCACGTGGGTGGCAGGGGCCCAAGCATTTGGACCATCTTCTGCTGCTTTGGGAGGCACATTGGAAGGGAGCTGAGGGACCAGTGGTGTGGCATAATGGATTAAGCCACCATCTGCAGTGCCAGCATCCTATATCAGTTCCTTTTTGAGTCCTGGCTGCTCCACTTCCAATTCAGCTCCCTGCTAATGTGCCTGGGAAAGCAGAGGAGGATGGTCCAAGTGCTTGGGCCCTAAAATACATGTGGAAGACCTGGGTGAAGCTTTTGGTTCCTGGCTTCCGCCTGGCCTAGTCCTATTCATTACAGCCATCTTGGGAGTGAAGTAGCAGATGGAAGATCTCTCTCCTCTTTCTGTAACTCTTTCAAATAAATAAATACATCTTAAAAAAAAAGAAGGGAGCTGGATTGGAAGTGGGAGCAGCCAGGACTTAAACCAGCCCTTGTATGGGATACCATACTCACAGGCAGCAGTTTACCATGTTGCATCACAACACTGGCTCCCAAAAGTGTAATTTCTTAAAATATGCAACCTAGTTGAACATAAATAGAATCATGGTAAATCTCTGTATGTGATTTTGAGAAGATTTTTGATACATTTTCTGTGTCCTTTAAATTGTTAGATTAAAACTAGTAGCTGAGATTTGAATTTATATTTTCAATTGCTTAATAGATAGTGGAAAGCAAAATAAATAATTGAAAGCACCTCCCAAGTTGGCCCAAATAATTTAAACTAAAATGGGTATATCATAAGTTTTGCATTAGTAGGTCTGAATTAATGTCTTACAAATATTTTTACTCCCAGTATTTTGTTAAGAAACCCATTAAACAGATGAAAGCATTTTATAGTAAATTTTTAATATGCCTACCTCCTAGATTGTACAGTTAATGTTTTGCTGTATTTGCTTTATCTATTCATTAGTTCATTTTAAGAAAATTCATTTGAAAATGTTGTTTTAAAACCATTTATAAAATTAATTTCTCCCTAAACAATTTAGCTTGAGTATTATTAACTAGGATTTCATATTCACTTGTGTGTGTGTGTGTGTTTCTTAGGTAAAATTCACATACAGTGAGATGCTCAAATTATATTTATTTATTTGAAAATTGGATTCACAGAGAGAGAGGGAGAGAGAAAGATCTTCAACCTGCTCATTCACTCCCCAGATGGCTGCAACGGCCAGCACTGGGTCAGGCTGAAGCTGGCAGCCAGGAGCTTCATCTGTATCTCCCCCTTGGGTGTCAGGGGCCCAAACACTTGGACCATCTTTGGCTGCTTTTCCCAGGATGTTAGCGGTGAGCTGGATCAGAAGGAGAGCAGCTGGGACATGAACTGGTGCCCATATCGGATGCTGGCATCCTAAGCAGTGGCTTTACCTGCTGTGCTACAATGCTGGCCCTGAAATGCACAGATCTTAAATATATGATTTGATGAGTTTTGGTAAATAACTACATCTGTGTAGCTTAAACCCCAAGATTTAAAATGTTATTATCACCTCAAAAAGTTCCCTTCTTACCCCATGCTAATCAGTCCTCCAGCACTTCAGACAACCACTGTTCCACTTTCTAAAAATTAGTGTTTTGCCTTTTTTTGAATGTCAGATAATTGGAATCATACAGTGTGCACACTGTTTTTTCACCATAGTTAATATTTTTAATGTTCACCTGTTTTCATTGCCTCTTCTCTTTTATTAAAGATTTTATATATTTATTTGAAAAGCAGAGTGGGGATGCCGCCTGCAGTGCCAGCATCCCATATGGGTGCCGGTTTGTATCTCCACTTCTCCACTTCCATCCAGTTCTCTGCTATGGCCTGGGAAAGCAATAGAAGATGGCCCAAGTCCTTGGGCCCCTGCACCCACATGGGAGACTGGGAAGACGCTCCTGGCTCCTGGCTTTTGATCAGTGCAGCTCTGGCCATTGTGGCCAGTTGGGAAGTGAACCATCAGATGAAAGACCTCTCTCTCTCTCTCTCTCTCTGTAACTCTGACTTTCAAATAAATAATCTTCAAAAAAAAAAAAGACTTCTGAGCAATTTGCAGATTTTTGCTGTTTTGTATAAAGAATCAGTGAATACTGTGGTGTGTATTTTTTGCGGACATAATGCTAGATTAGGGAACATATGCATTTAATCTTTATGAGACTTCCAGAATTTTTTCTAAAGTGATTATAACAGTATATGAGTTTTTTTAAAGTAAAGCTTTGCATGTTTAGTGGTTGGAATGTCAAAATTGAAGTTAGTGAATAAATTTTCCAGCATTTAAATGAATTAAAAATACCAGGCAGATAATTTAGACATCTGGGAATGTTGTAGTTTATTGATTTTTTTCATTTTAGCACTTATTGCACATATGCATACATGAAGTGTTGAAAAACTATGAGGGTATACTTAGAAGTTTCATTTTGAAAATGATCTTTAATGTGAGAAACATCATCTGGGTTAATTTTACATGTGACATTTGCACTTTGTTGACATTGTTTCCTTTATTAGATAAACTATCTGATTATCAGTTTCAGGGGATTTGTGTAGGTAGTGTCTGTATATTTTGTACTATCCTAAAAACCATGTTCAGTCTTTATATTGCAGTTATATATTAATTTGTATTAAAAGTTCTGGTAGGTTTTGGCAATTTTAAAAACCAAAATAGAATCTTCAAGAGTATTTACATTCTTTATTGAATATGATTGTGAGGCATTTTAAATTTCATTTATGCCATAGAAAACAATCTGTGTATTTAGAAATTGTTAAAAGAGGAAAGAATCTTAAAGGCTTGGGTTTATGGGATGCATAATTAAGTCATCCAGCCTAAAGTGGGTTCGCTGAGGATCCATCCATTAAGGTGATAGTGCCCATGAGTAATATTAAACGATACTTTCTCCCATCTTCTGAGTCTTGCAGGTGGGCCTGCAAATCAATGCCGACTTTTTTTTTTGTTATTGATTTGGAAAGTACATTACAGGATCAAGGGGAAAATAGATCAGAACCAAGTTTAGCAATAAAAATTATAGTTAGACAGAAATTGTTAGGAGTGGTTCATCTGGCATGTAGCAAATTAGTCAATATTTTATGTAACATAAGTAGTCTAAATATAGAATGTGATTATATTCCATGATCCTATGTACCCAATGAACTTCATTCTGCTTTTTGGAATTATTTATCCTCTTCCTTTCCTGCCATATGGCCTATGCAATTTTCATTTATTTTTCATATGGGAGTGAGAGAGAACCTGTAAACGCTCAAGAGACAGGAAGCAGCCATCTGCTGGTTAACTCCTAAATGACCACAGTGGGTAGGAACAGACCAGATGAAGCCTAGAGATGGGAACTCGGAGAACCCGATTCCTTGAGTCAAAGCTGCTCTTTTCAAGGTCTGCAGAAGTAGGAAGCTGGAGTCAGGAGCCAGAGTATTGAACCCAGGTACTCCCATATGGGACTTAGGTGTCTTAATGGTGTGGCTAAATACCTGCCTCCTAAATAATTTTTAAAATGGGATTAAAAGGGAAAGGAATATGGACAACATGAAGATGGTAGTATTTAGGGAATACTTAGCACATGGCAAGTGCCATTCTAGGCATTTAACACATTCACCATTCTAATGCTCACACTAACTCTAGTGATGTAGGTAGTGGTATTATATTCATAATCACATAGAAAGGGGTTAACCTACTTGTCCTGGGTCACATAACCAGTAAGTGCCAGGCTCAGAGTTGAAACTCTGACTCCACAGTTGATGCTCTCCTGCTTTTCTGCAGAAAAAGGGTGTGTCGAAGTCTGAGACTCTTAGGCTAGTTCTAAGTCAGCTGTAAGTAATTTATGAGTTCTCAGAATCGCATTGTTGTTCTAATGAGTTTTTTTCTGGTGTGGGGATTGACAGAAGGTGTTGATGACAGTCATTGGGACTACAACAGGGTGTTGGACTATAGGGTGGTTTTCCCAGCTTTTATGGTGAAAACATTGTTTTTACTCCTGCCTTAGGGAAATCTTAAACCACTTAAAGGGGAATTATATTTTTCTCTTGGATAACCTAGTAAAAGAGGTACAAATTTATGGAAAGATATTGTCAGTCTCTTATTCAATGTGTAGTGACTGCTACTGGTAGAAATAATACAAAAAGACAATAAAAGTGCCTAAAGTTGCACACTGCAAATTTATTAGAGTTCAGAAACCGTGTCCTGTCTTTTTTGCTAATGCTAAGAACCTCAAAGCTTTCTCTGGGCAAATCAAGCTTGCTAAAACAAACATAATCAGTACATGACAAATACTAATTTAAAAACTGGTAAATTTTCTTGACTAGTAACAATGGATTAATACAATTTTAATCATATTTAGTTATGCAAAGTTTGACTCAAAACTACATTGATAGAAATTATTTTTTTTTAAAGATTTGCTTTTTTCAAAAGATTTATTTATTCGAGGGGTAGAGTTACAGTGGGGGGAAGATATCTTCCATCCACTAGTTCACTCCCCAAATGGCTGCAATGACCAGAGCTGGCCTGATCCGAAGCCAGGAGCCAGGAGCTTCTTCCAGGTCTCCTATGTGGGTGCAGGGATCCAAGGACCTGGGCCATCTTCCACTGCTTTCCCAGGCCATAGCAGAGAGCTGGATCAGAAGTGGAGCAGCTGGGACTCGAACCGGTGCTCATATGGGATGCCAGCACTGCAAATGAACTCTTAGCCTACTATGCCACAGCTCTGGCCAGAGATTTGCTTATTTTATTTGAAAGGCAAAGATACAGAGAGGGAGAGATATAGAGAGAACCTTCTATCTGCTGGTGTACTCCCCAGATGGCTGCAACAGCCAGCGCTAGGCCAACCTGAAGCCAGGAGGCAGGATCTTCATTTGTGTCTCTCATGTGGGAGCATGGGCCCAAGTACTTGGCCATCTGCTGCTTTCCCAGGCCATAAGCAGAGAGCAGGAGCAGAAGTGGAGGAGCTGGAACTTGAACTGGTGCCCATAAGGGATGCTGGCGATTTTACCCGCTATGCCACAGTGCTGAGCCTAATGTTACTTTTTTTTTTTTTTTTTTTAAGATTTATTTACTTATTTGAAAGGCAGAGTTACAGAGAGGCAGAGAGAGAGGTCTTCCATCCTCTGGTTCACCCTGAAATGGCCGCAATGGCTGGAGCTGAGCTGATCCAAAGCCAGGAGCCTGGAGCTTCTTCCAGGTATTCCACGTGGTGTAGAGACCCAAGGATTTGAGCCATCTTCTACTGTTTTCCTAGGCCACAGTAGAGAGCTGGATCAGAAGTGGAGTAGCCAGGACTTATGGGATGCCGGCACTGCAGGCGTTGGCTATACCCCCTACACTACAGCACTGGCCCCAAAATTACTGATTTAAAAAGAACTCACTGATACATAAAAAGGAGGCTGATGAACTAAATCCTTGTTATATAACAAAGATTACTTGAAAAATAATCCTAAAGACAAGAAATCTTTAAAATGAAAAAAAAAGGACAGTAATGGGAATGAGTCATTGTTTTCTAAAAATAATTTCATATTTAAATATTTTCATAAACAAAAGTGTTCATAGAGTCAAAATAGCAGTTTTGGAAAGTACCCGTAGTTCTGGGAATATAGTGATGAAAAAAAATTACCAAAACAGACCTCTCCCTTCGAGACTTAATAGTTTAGTGAGAATGACAGATAATTTGTTTTGCAGTTTAGATGTTGCCCAGGTAGTATGGCAGCTTGGTTTAAAGGGACAATCAGGGAAATTTTAACCTATGTAGAGAATGAGTAGAAGTTAATTTAGGCCGGCGCCGCGGCTCACTAGGCTAATCCTCCGCCTTGTGGTGCCGGCACACCAGGTTCTAGTCCCGGTTGGGGTGCCGGATTCTGTCCCGGTTGCCCCTCTTCCAGGCCAGCTCTCTGCTATGGCCTGGGAGGGCAGTGGAGGATGGCCCAAGTACTTGGGCCCTGCACCCCATGGGAGACCAGGAGAAGAGCCTGGCTCCTGCCATCGGATCAGTGTGGTGCGCCGGCCGCGGCGGCCATTGGAGGGTGAACCAACAGCAAAGGAAGACCTTTCTCTCTGTCTCTCCCTTTCACTGTCCACTCTGCCTGTCATAGATAAAATAAAAAAAAAAAAAAAAAAGAGATAGATGTGTTGGAGCAAGACAAGTAAGAAGACCCCTTGCACTGGTGTTGTGTGCAGCAGGTTAAGCTGCCATTTGCAAGGTTGACATCTCATATCAGAATGCCAGTTCAAACCTTGGCTATTCCATGTCCAGTCCAGCTTCCTGCTGGTGTGCTTGGAAAAGCAGCAGAAGATGGCCTTAATGCTTAGGCTCCTGCTACCTGATTTTGGTGGTAGTTATGTGGATCTTTACATGTGTTACACTTTGTAAAACTACACCAAGAAAAAATGTAAGGTTACTATATGAAATTTAAAAATATTTGTAGTTAGAAAAAATTGATAAAAGTGCTATAATGTGTTGATGTAGATTTGTAAATTGAAGTGGATGTTCTCTCAATTGGTGGAAGTACCATTGCCACAATCTGTTCTGAGGAAAGTGTCAGTCTGTCCACATACTTCAAAAAGTTTGTGGAAAATGGAATTGAGATAAGCTTATTTTGATGCACATCTTTTTTGAAATCCATACATATTAGGGGTCTTCAAAAAGTTCATGAAAAAATTGTATTAAAAAACTGTGTAGATTTCAAAATTGTTTTGCATCAAAGCAAACTTGCCTTTTAATTTCACTTTCCACAAACTTTTTGAAATACCCTTATATTGGTTGAAGATAGTCAGCACTCACTCTCTTTCTTTTTTTATTTATTTATTTTCAAAGAATTGTTTTATTTATTTGAAAGAGTTACAGAGAAGGGTAGAGCCAGAGAGAGAGAGAGAGAGAGGTCTTCCATTCCGTTGGTTCACTCCCCAAATGACTGTAACGGTGACAGCTGAGCTGATCCGAAGCCAGGAGCCAGGAGGTTATTTCATGTCTCCCACGCGGGTGCAGGGGCCCAAGGACTTGGGCCATCCTCCACTGCTTTCCCAGGCCATAGCAGAGAGCTGGATCGGAAGAGGAGCAGCTGGGACTCAAACCAGCGTCCATATGGGATGCCAGTGCTACCTGCTGGGGTTTTAACCCACTGCGTCACAGTGCCGCCGGCCCCAACACTCACTTTCTAAATCCATGAGTGCCTCTGAAGGACATGTATATTAACTGAATTCTCACAATGACAATAGATTTTCAGGCTTTTGGGAGGTTAATTTACCTGGCTTAAATTGTGTGTGTGTGAGAGAGTAGGTATGTGTGTATGTTCATCAAGGCACCACTCATAATATCCAAGACTAAACTCAAGTGTCCATCAATGAAATAGGAGAAGAAAATATGTTATATATGAGGAGTCATCAAGAAGTTCAAGAAAAATGTGTATTATGAAAAAAATTATGCCTGGATTTCAGATGTTTTTGCACCAAAATAAACTTATATTTTAATTCCTTTTCCATGAACTTTTGTAACTACTTTCTTATATGCTCATCCTTTAGGAAAAGGAAATCCTGTCATTTGTGACAACATGGATGAACTTGGAGGATGGTATACTAAGTGAAATAAGCCAAGCATAGTAAAATCATTACTGTATGAGCTCTCTTTTATCTGGAGTCTTAAAAATAAACTCATACACAGAGTAGAATGGTGGTTGCCAAGAGTTGGGGTTGGTGAGGCAGAGATGTTAGTCAAAGGACACGAACTTTCAGTTAGGAGGAAGAGGTTCAAGAACTCTATTGTATAGCATATTGACTCTAGTTAACCATGTTTTGTATTCTTGAAAAATGCTAAGAAATGGGATTTTAGATGTTCTCACCACAAAAAAATAAAAAAATCTGTATGGTAATGAATATTAATTAGTTTGATTTAGCCATTCCATAATATATATATATATATACATCAAAACAGTATGTTGTACACCATAAATACACTCATGTACCACATAGTGACTTTTCAGTCAACAAGGGATTGCATCTATGGTGGTGGTCCTGTAAGATTATATTACATCATAGTTTCTTACTGTAAGTATATGATGTTTGTACAATGACGCAATTGCCCAATGCCACATCTCAGAACACATCTGCATTGTTATATGTGTATATAAATATGTATGCAGTGTTGTATACCATGTTGTCAGATGAAGACATCATGTGTATAGTGTTGTCAGATGCTTCCTTACCCGGGCTCTACATTTTGCCTTCAAAGATAAATGCAGGCCGGCGCCGCGGCTCACTAGGCTAATCCTCCGCCTAGCGGCGCCGGCACACCGGGTTCTAGTCCCGGTAGGGGCGCCGGATTCTGTCCCGGTTGCCCCTCTTCCAGGCCAGCCCTCTGCTGTGGCCAGGGAGTGCAGTGGAGGATGGCCCAGGTGCTTGGGCCCTGCACCCTATGGGAGACCAGGAAAAGCACCTGGCTCCTGGCTCCTGCCATCGGATCAGCGCGGTGCGCCGGCCGCAGCGCGCCAACCGCGGCGGCCATTGGAGGGTGAACCAACGGCAAAGGAAGACCTTTCTCTCTGTCTCTCTCTCTCTCTCACTGTCCACTCTGCCTGTCAAAAAAAAAAAAAAAAAAAAAAAAAAAGATAAATGCAAGCAGAACTTGGGTGCTGTGGACACAAGGACCCAGTTTTGGTGCTACTCTGCAGCTCTGGTGGTGCCACCGGGACCACGTCCTTAGGGTTTGTGCTCTGCCTGTCTAGCAGTTGATGTGGGTAAAGGTGGAGAAGAGCAGATATTCAAAGGCTTGGGTGACTGCCTGGTCAAATCTGATGGGATTCAGGGTATGTTCTGAACCTTTAACGTGTCTGTGTAGGGTGTTGTCATCTGCTGAGCTGCCTTTGTCAGTATATGTGACACTGCAAAGGGAATGCTTCCAGATCCCAAGAATACTCTTGTCTTCGTCAGCTGAATCTCTGCCATTGCCGGGTTGGTTTCCTACCCATTTGACACTGATAGCTGCTGCATGGTGGTGCAGCCAGGGTACAGAGGAGCTGATATCATGTACACAGCCATGCCTGACTGTTGGAGAAAGGTTGCTCTGAAGGAAGTACAGCTTTTTACAAACATGCATGGTTTAGGGTTCTCAGTGGCATGGGTGTTGCTTTGTGCTTGTCTTGTTTGATGAAGTCAAGAGTTTGTATAAGTTCTTTCCTTGATGGTATTACTTCTGTGCACAGGCATGCTGTGTTATTTCATCTTGAGCATTCTTGGCTTTCAACAGCAAGTATTTACTGGTCGAAAATGGGAAGCAATATACTATTAATTTGACCAATTTTTTTTCTTTTTTCCTTTTTAAAAGATTATTTATTTGAAAGAGTAACAGAGAGAGGAGGCATAGGCAGAAAGAGAGAGAGAGATAGAGAGAGAGATATCTTGCATCTGCTGGTTCACTCCCCAAATGGCTGCAGTGGCCAGGACTGGGCCAGGCTGAAGCCAGGAGCCAAGAGCTTCTTCCAGTTTCCCATGTGGGTGCAGGGGTCCAAGTACTTGGGCCATCCTCCACTGCTTTCCCAGCCACATTAGCAGAGAACTGGATTGGAAGTGGAGCATCCAAGGATTCGAACCTTCACCCATGTGGTATGCCAGTGCTGCAGGCACTGGCTTTACCCGTTATACCACAGCACTGGCCCCATGTTCAGTGTTTTCTAAAAGCCATTTCCATCATCATCATCATTAGGTGGCCCAATATTTCAGTCACTCCTGATAAGTAATACATTTGAAAAATAAAAATATCTAAAATCAAAAGCAAAACCATCTCAAGACTTAAAAACAAAAATCTAAAGTAGAAAAAAATTGCAAGTTTTTCTGTCAGAGAATTCTGTAATCTCCCTTTTCCTTGACTTGTCATGGTACTTAATTGTCAGTCATTTGTTAAAACATGTGATTTTAGATATTTTTCTATGCTATAGGTAATGAAATAGTATCTTTAATTCCTAGAGTTTTAAGCTGTATATAGTAATTGTTATGTTGTTCATTTTAATTGAGTTTATATTACATTGTGACTAATGAGACTGTTGCATTTAATGGTAGTGATAGAAACATTTGAATTTCTCCATTTCCAAATGCTAACATAAATATGATAAATATTCTTTCATACTATTTATAAATACAGTCTGATTTTCTTGTGCCTCTTTTTGTTTGAATGACCTTACTGTTTAACATTAAAGTTATCTTTAATATTTTGATTTCATTTTTTATTCTAGTTCATCCAGACCCTAAAGAAATAACAGCATTTAGGAGGAAAGAAGATGAATCTGAAAGTCAGGCTAAGTATTTCAGTGTTGTTTGGTGTAAGGCTTCAAAGAAAAAACACAAGAAGTGGGAAGGTGATGCTGTTCTTATTGTAAAAGGAAGGTCATTTATATTAAAAGATTTAGAAGGCAAAGACATTGGGAAAGGTATGTGATATTACCTGCTCTTTATGATTTCACTTAATATTAGTATATATCTTTTTTGTTACAGAAACTCTTTGCTCTTTTCACACTTAACTGTGTGTGTTGTGTTTTTTAATTTATTTTATTTATTTGAAAGGGTTACAGAGAAAAGTATAGACAGAGATTTTCATCCACTGGTTCACTTCTCAAATGGATGCAATGACTGGGGCTTGGTCAGGCTGAAGCCAGGATCCAGCAGCTTCTTCCTGGTCTCCCATGTGGGTGTAGGGGCCCAAGGACTTGGGCCATCATCTTTTTTTTTAAACTTTTATTTAATAAATATAAATTTCCAAAGTACAGTTTATGGATTACAATGGCTTTTTCTCCCCCATAACTTCCCTCTCACCTGCAACCCTCCCATCTCCCGCTCCCTCTCCCATTCCATTCGCATCAAGATTCGTTTTCAATTCTCTTTATGTTCAGAAGATCAATTTAGTATATATTAAGTAAAGATTTCAACAGTTTGCACCCACACCGAAACACAAAGTGTAAAATATTGTTTGAGTACTAGTTATAGCATTTATTCACATTGTACAACACATTAAGGACAGAGATCCTACATGAGGAGTAAGTGCACAGTGACTCCTGTTGTTGACTTAACAAAGGGCCATCTACTACTGCTTTCCCAGACACATTAGGAGGAAGCTGGATTGGAAGTAGAGCAGCCAGGACTTGAACCAGTACCTGTATGGGATGTTGGTGCTGCAGGCCAGCGCTTTAACCCAGTGCACCACAGTGCCATCCCCAGTGTATATCTTTGATTATACAGTTAGAATATAATTGGATTTTATAAAGGGACAGACTAAGATGTTTTTAAATTGACTGTGATGCCTCAACTGTGTATGATACAAAAAATTATCTCATAATGGGGTGAACATTGTGGCACAGTGATTTAAGCCAATGTTATGCTCAGTGATTAGAGGAATTTAAAACTGTCAGTATATATTGTATGTTTTTTGCTTCAAGAAGATTTGGGCTAGAGTTTTGGAGAATGTGTTCATGCAGTGGTGTTGCTTTTTGAATGAAATTGTATTCTTTTTTTTTTTTTTTTTTTTTAAGATTTATTTATTTATTTGAAAGTCAGAGTTACACAGAGAGAGGAGAGGCAGAGAGAGAGAGAGGTCTTCCATCCGACAGTTCACTCCCCAGATGGCCGCAATGGCCGGAGCTGCGCCGATCTGAAGCCAGGAGCCAGGAAGCTCTTCTGGGTCTCCCATGTGGGTGCAGGGGCCCAAGGACTTGGGCTATCTTCTACTGCTTGCCCAGGCCATAGCAGAGAGTTGGATTGGAAGTGGAGCAGCTGGGACTTGAACTGGTGCCCATATGGGCTGCCGGCGCTTCAGGCCAAGGTGTTAACCCGCTGCACCACAGCATCCGTATAGGATGCTGGCATTGCAGGCGGTGGCTTTACCCGCTTTGCCACAGCACTGGCCCCAGCACTGGTGTTAATAGAAGTTGCTTTTATTGCCAGTTTTCCTTCGTATTTCCAGGGGGCTCTGAATCGAATTAGACCTTGGTGTTTTTCTAGTTTGTTCACAAGATAGGAGGTCTCATGTGGATTATTGGACTCTTTACTTGGCTTGATTTTTCCAGACAAGAGATGGTAAAATTATAAAGAGTATAATAGGCTATACATTGAAAAAGGAAAAAAAAAAAAGTCTTGCTTTCTTTAAAGTGTATCTAGTTTTTGTAGCTGCATTATTATTTCTTCTAATTTTTTGTGATGTTCTTTTTTTAAGCCAAAATGATAAATTATTTTTTGTTACGGTTAGTGGGTTATACAAGGCTATTTACATTTAAATTAGTTGTCATTCTGTACAGTCATGGGTAGATAACAATGATATTACTAAGTCATTTTACAGCTTCATTAACAGTTTTTCTTCCCCCCACCCCCCTTCAACCGAAAGGCATTGGTTATAATTTAAAAGAATTTGAAAAGATTGAAGAGGGCCAAACACTGATGGTTGGTGGAAAAGAAATAGAGGTCATGGGTGTGATCTCTTCGGATGACTTCAGCAGTGGCAGGTGTTTTCAGCTTGGAGGAGGAAGTCCTGCTGTCTCAAGTTCTTCTCTAACTGCCAGGAGCTGTTTTTCTAAACCCTTTAAAAGTGTCTGTAAACCAAGTTCAAAGGAAAATAGACAGAATGACTTCCAAAATTGTAAACCACGCTATGACCCTTATATGCCAAGTAAGATTTTAAAAATAATTTCAATATTTCTTCTGTTCTTACTGTTAAAATTTGTCTATTATGTTAATTTGGAGTTTAAATTTTGTTTTAACGTTTTCAGGTGAAAATATATATATTATTCAGATATATAATCTGACTTAAGGGGCAGTGTTGAAGTCAAGTAACAATATAATTTGGAATTATTTCATATGAAAATGCGTAATCCAAGAAATAGAGTAAGCAAAACACTATAGGTGTATTAGAGGAAAAAATCTAAATCAGAGATACATGGATACACATATGTATACATGGATAATTTTGAATAAACTTTGACATCTTTAGTAAGTAGAAAAATCAGTAAATTTATGAATCAGGAGTTTGATGTGTACTTCTGTTTTGAAGACTATATGCCTTGATTGTATACTTCAGTGTGTTCATATTTTGAATGGTGAGATGTCATGTAAAGAATTCAGATTTTACTGGTGAAAATACAATTCATGCATGTAATAGTCACATTGATGATTTTAATTTAAAAAAAGACGCTAAAAACATGAAACCTGTTTCTAATTTTTATTTTATTTGTTCACTCTGCAAGTTTTATTTTGATTGCCTTTTATGAGTTGGCCTAGAGATGAAATTGTCATCACAGAGCTTCTCGTTTGGTGAGAAGGACAAGGAAATTTGAAAGTGCAGTGCAATGGATGTGGAGGTTGGAAGTGAACAAGAAGGAAGTCCACAGTGTTGCTTCTGATAGGAGTATTTTGTCTGTCGTCTCAGCTCTTTACCCTTTCTCTTCCTCTTTACCCTTTCTCTTGGCCTTCCTGTTGCCAAATAGAGTGCTGTGAAGAACTGAAAAGAATTCTGTGCTTATGCAAAGATCTGAATTAGTGCCTTGGTTTTGACACTGAGCTAACTTTGACCTCTCAGTCACTTGCCTCTCTAGTGTTTTTCCTTCTGCTGTGTAAAACTGGGTCCTAATAACCATCATAGTGATTTACGTATTTAAGGTATACTCCGTCCAATAAATACTGAGCCAAGTAAATGAAAAATTTTGTACTATTTGTGTGTGTATGTGAATGTTTTTATACATGTGTGTATATACATGTAAAGTATATTTGTGTGTGTACATATATTTTTAAATATGAGTACTTTGTGTAAATGGCAGATGATTTTATTATTCAGTTACCATCCATCCATGCCAAGAGCAGAATTAGGTGGTTCTTTTTTTTTTTTAAGATTTATCTGTTTATTTGAAAGGCAGAGTTATAGCAGAAAGGGGGGAGAGACAGAGAGATCTTCCATCCACTGATTCACTCCCCCAAAAGGCCACAATGGCTGGGCTGGGCCAGGCTGAAGCCAAGAGCTAGGAACTTCTTCCAGGTCTCCCACGTAGGTGCAAGGGCCCAAGGACTTGGGCCATTCTCTACTACTTTCCCAGGTGCATTAGTGGGGAGATGAATTGGGAGTGGAGCAACCAGGACCCAAACTGGCACCCATATGGGATGCTGGCATTGCAGGCCATGGCTTTAATCTACTTTACCACAGCACCGGTGCCCAGAATTAGGTAGAATCTAAGACATTGTTTTAGTGTTAAATGATGTCTCATCAGTGTGGTAATGATAAAGGATCTTAATATTTGAACTTGTGTTCCATTATTGTGGCTCTTTAAGTTTTGTCTGTCTTAAAAGATGGGCCTTTTGGTGCCGGCACTGTGGTTTAGCAGGTTGGCCACCATCTGCAGTGCCTACGTCCCTCATGGGTGCTGGTTCGTGTCCCCATTGCTCCACTTCTGATCCACCTCCCTGCTAATACAACTGGGAAAGCAGTGGGAATTAGTATAAGCCCTTGGGCCCCTGCACCCAAATGGGAGAGCTGGAAGAAGCTCCTGGTTCCTGGCTTTGGCCTGGCCCAGCCCCAGCTGTTGCCAGCATTTGGGGAATGAGCCAGAGGATGGAACATTTCTCTCTCTCTCTCTCTGCCTTTCAAATAAATAAATCTTTAAGAAAAAAAGAGATGGTCTCAGACTTTAAAAAAAAAAAAAAAAAAAGACGGGTCTTTTGGTAGGTGACTTAATGATCCTTTGGTCCTTTTTGCTTGAGCAGTATGTGATACTGCACTTCTATGTTCTCTTTTTCCCCGTTGTCCTTTTTAAAAGTAAACAAGAACGGGGCCGTTTCTTGGTTGGAAACCGATGGAGTTCATTCTTAGTTTGCATCAGGCTTATAGGGCATGACCAAGAACTAAGTTTTCCATTATACTTCCTAATCCCTTACCTTTACCTAACAAGAATTGACCTCAAGGATGAAAGTACCTTTAGTTATTCATGAACCTTGAACAATCCACAGAACACTTATCCTCTGAGTAATTGCTAATGGCAAACATGACTAAACTCTCATTCTTGTGGCTATGTATTTCTGTTGGTGATATTTGCTTATTTAATTTATTGATGTTTTTATCTTCTCTTTTCTTTCTTTCTTTTTCTTTTTTCTTTTTTTGACAGGCAGAGTTAGACAGTGAGAGAAAGAGAGACAGAGACAGAGACAGAGGCAGAGACAGAAAAATCTTCCTTCCGTTGGTTCACCCCCCAAATGGCCACTACGGCCGGCACGCTGCGGATCTGAAGCCAGGAGCCAGGTGCTTCCTCCTGGACTCCCATGCGGGTGCAGGGCCCAAGCACCTGGGCCATCCTTCACTACCTTCTTGGGTCACAGCAGAGAGCTGGACTGGAAGAGGAACAACCAGGACAGAATCTGGCACCCCAATCGGGACTAGAACCCAGGGTGCCGGCACCGCAGGCAGAGGATTAGCCTAGTGAGCCACAGCGCCAGCCTCTTTTCCTTTTCTTGTCCTCTTTTGTCCTTTGTTTTGTTTTTTAATCTAATTCAGTTTTTAACCATGGTGTACACTTGCAAAAATAGAGCCCAAAAATAATTTTCAGGTTTTTTTTTCAATGCCTGACTTCAGATTTTTTTAAAGAGTTATTTATTAACTTTTTTTTTTTTTTTTTGACAGGCAGAGTGGACAGTGAGAGAGAGAGACAGAGAGAAAGGTCTTCCTTTGCCGTTGGTTCACCCTCCAATGGCCGCCGCGGCCAGCGCGCTGCGGCCGGCGCACCGCGCTGATCCGATGGCAGGAGCCAGGAGCCAGGTGCTTTTCCTGGTCTCCCATGGGGTGCAGGGCCCAAGCACTTGGGCCATCCTCCACTGCACTCCCTGGCCACAGCAGAGAGCTGGCCTGGAAGAGGGGCAACCGGGACAGAATCCGGCGCCCCTACCGGGACTAGAACCCGGTGTGCCGGCACTGCTAGGCGGAGGATTAGCCTAGTGAGCCGCGGCGCCGGCTTTATTTATTAATTTAACAGGCAGAATAGAGAGGCAGAGGGAGAGAGGGAGAGAGATCTGCCATCTGCTGGTTCACTCTCTAGATGGCCGCAACAGCTGGAGCTGGGCTGATCCATCAGAAGGCAGGAGCCAGGAGCTTCCTCTGGGCCTCCCACATGGGTACAGGGGCCTAAGGATTTGGACCATCTTGCACTGCTTTCCCATGCCATAGCAGAGAGCTAGATTAGAAGTGGAGCAGCTGGGACTCGAACTGGTGTCCATATCGGATGCTGGCATTGCTGGTGGCGGCATTTCCTACTGTGCCACAGTGCTGACCCTGACTTCAGGTTTATCATTGAGATTTCTCTTTCAGTTATATTTGATGTTACTTTTTTGGGTGACATTTTAGTAAATGTTTTACATTGTCTTAGGGTATTTCCAAAAAATTACATTATTTTCCAATGGCTCCTTCATGTTGCTTTGCAAAGGTTCATGAATTTGATGTTCATGAATGTAATAATAATAATGGCTAAGTCATTGGAAAATTTATCCTTTCTCAGTTCTGATTGATAGAAGTGAGGATCATTGTTAATCTGCACAGGACTGAAAGTGAAAAGAGCCTTTATGTTAAGTTTGGGGAACCTTTTCCGAACGAGAAGCTATGAGCATTGGCAAATGCACGTTGGCAAAATTCCAGCCTGCGCTTTCAGTTGGAAATAGTTCTCTTTGCTCTGAATACTGAACTACTGAATGCTGGGGCTTGCTGTATTCCTTATTAACAATAGTGAATTTCAGTGGTTTCAAAGCACTTTTGGAGACATAACGTTGAACAACTCTTTGTAATTGTTTGCATGACATCCTACATCAGTCAGGCTTGTAACTTTTTAAATTTTGTATCTTTGTTTAGCAGTAGTATTAATACATTTCAAACAATTCTATCTTAAAAGCAGTAAAAACTAAGGTAATGTAGTTGCTGACAAAATGAAATTATATTTACAGTTACACTGTTAACTTTTCTTTAAAAAGATTCCCTTGTCATGCCACAACCAGACAAGAACCACCAGTGGATGTTCAATAAGAAATGTTTCCCTCTTGTGGATGTAGTGATAGATCCTCACCTTGTATATCATCTTCGACCACATCAGAAAGAAGGAATCATATTCCTTTATGAGTGTGTGATGGGAATGAGGTAGGAAAATAACTAATTTTTAGTGTTATCTGAGTTTTGATTTAATCTGTAACATCATGGTTTTCTGAGAGCCTGATATAATGAGTCTTGAGAGGAATCTTAGATGGTGGGAAAGGTAATACTTACTATGTGTATCTGTTCCAAAAATGGATGATGGATGTCAGGTGCCCTGCATGCAGACTTCTTGCTAGGAGGTGTTGATGCAGAAGTCAGGGCCACAGGACTGTGTTCCTTATTCTTCAGTAGCTTGTAAAGCACTTGAATGAACAGATAAATAGGATCCACCTGATTGTTGTCCAGTAATCACTCACTACTAGGATAATAAAGAGTTAACGGGTGAAAATGGAAGATGCAGCTCTGCTAATGAGAATATTAGAAAAAGATCGTCTTCTGTCTCACCGCTACTTCTACAAAGAGCAATAAAGAGGTCTCTCTTCCCATGTAAATTGAGTTTTCTTATTGAAGAGTAGTGTCTTCTCTTAAAGACATTTTAGAAGACGTAAAAAAATAGAAGGAAACACGAAAAAAAAAAAAAATAGAAGACGCTGCTAAAATTTTGGTATATTTCCTTCCAGTTCTACTTCTTGGATTTTGTTTTGCTGTGTTTTTAAATGCATAGGCTTTGATTTTTAAATTAATTATTTAAAGGTGGTTGGAAATTTAGATTCTCCCCAACTCTAATAACTCCTTGAATGGTGACAATTTATGGGAATACCATCTCCTGGAAACTTTTAAATAGGCTCATGTTCTCTCCCAAATCTGCTCTTCCTTGTGGAGATCTTATCTCAGTTGGCCTGGGAATCATGTTTGATTGCTTTTTCTCTCACTGTCTAAATCCAGTGAAATCTGAATGTCTAATTATTTTTAACCTGCTAACTATCATTTGATTCCTAATCTTTTCTAGCTTCCTGCTGCTAGTAAGTGATATAAAAATAACATTTGATCTGGACTATTTCCGTGGCTCTTAACCTGTGTTTCTGCCCACATCTGTTCTGCTTAAACTTACCAGCTGTTTTCTGAAAAACAATTCTGAACATGACATTCCTTTACTTAAAATTATTTGGAGACTCCTAACTTAGAGCAGTGTTTTCCAATCTGATCTGCTCTCTACTGGTATTAAGTGGGACAATTTTGAGCTGGTAAATCAAATTGACAGGTTTTGTGTTTTTTTTTTTTTTTTCAATTAAAAAATTTTATTCCATACATACACACACACAAACACAGATAGAGAGAGAGGGAGAGAGGGAGAGAGAGAGAAAGAGAGAAACTCTCATCTGCTGGTTCACTTCCCAAATACCCACAATAGCTGAGACTAGGCCAGGCCCAAGCTGGGAGCCAGCAGTTCTGTCTGGGTCTCCCACTTAGTGGCAGGGACTCAACTCCTTGAGCCATCATCTGCTGCCTTCCAGAGTGCATAGCAGCTAAAAGCTAGAATTGAGAGCAGAGTCAGGACTCCAGCCTGGGCACTCTCAAGGTTCCAAGTGGCATCTTAACCACTGAGCCAAACATCTATTCCATAATATTTAATTTTAAATTGTATTAAGCTAGTAGGTCTGTAGGATAACAGACTTTTTACCAAATTGTATGTATTAGATCAAGTATTTGATTTTTACTTTTATAATGGTGCAGGAAGCCATTTCAGTTGAGACCTTCATTTACTGCCAGAGAATCAAATACAACTTGATAGATCTTACTGATTACAGTTACAATATATTTTGAACTTTTTAAAAAGTCTAATACTAATACTTTTTAAAAAGTCTAATACTGATAGTGATGAGCAACATAGCTAAATTATTCTAATGTAGACATAAAATTGAAACATTTCTATTCTCTAAATTTGTGTATATAAAAGTAATAGATGATTCATATTCAGCCCTCTAATTTCAGATTTATGTTGACAATACATGATTGATATAATTATCCAAGATTCCAGAGAGATGGTTGTAAATCAGCTGAATGAAATACTTATAGAGTCTTTAGTGTCATAATTATAAAATACTAGTTTCTGGTGTTTGATTATTGTAGGGGCATATAAAATATTTTCTAGTTGTGATTAAGGGAAGTACAATTATTTCTAACAGAATGGATGGCAGATGTGGAGCTATTCTTGCTGATGAAATGGGTTTGGGGAAAACACTGCAATGCATTTCGCTCATCTGGACCCTACAGTGTCAGGGGCCCTATGGAGGCAAGCCAGTCATAAAGAAGACACTTATTGTCACACCTGGAAGCTTGGTGAATAATTGGAGGAAAGAATTTCAAAAATGGCTAGGAAGTGAGAGGATCAAGATATTTACCGTTGATCAGGTAAGAGACTTTTAAAAGTTTTCTTTGTTTTAAGATTTATTTTATTTATTTGAAAGGCAGAGTTAGAGTGAGAGAGAGAGAAAGAAGCAAAGAGAGAGAGGATCCTCTGTCTGCTGGTTCATTCCACAAATGGCCGCTGTGGCCAGGGCTATGCCACACCTAAGCCAGGAGTTAGGAGCTTCTTCCGGGTCTCTCAGCTGGGTGCAGGGCCCAAAGACTTGGGCTATTTTCTGCTGCTTTCCCAGATGCATTAACAGGGAATTGGGTTGGAAGTGGTACAGCTGGGACTTGGAGTGGCACAGTTGAGACTCAAACTGGCTCCCATATGGGATGCTGGTGTTGCAGGCAGCAGCTTTACCTGTTACACCACAGCGCCTGCTCCAGTTTTACTTTTTGTTTGTAGTTTTCTAAGTGTAGGTAACTACCAACCCCTTTGAAAAAAATTGGGTCTTTGCTTACATTTTAATTTTGAGTTGTTATAAGCTAAGTATTTATGTTTTTCCAGAATTCATGTTGAAGCTCTAATTCTCAATATAGTGGGGTTGGAAGGTGAGGACTTGGGGAGGTAGTTAGGTTTACATTATTGGGTCATGAACATGGAGCTCCATGGTGGGATTCATGTTCCTGTAAGAAAAAAAGAGACACCAGAGCTGCGTCTTTCTTCCATGTGAGAATGGAGCAAGCCGACATCCCCGTGCAGATCAGGAAGAGGCTCTCACTAGAACCCTGCCCTGCTGGCATCCTGATCTCAGGCCTCAGTGATATTTACCTACAGCTGACTAACACAGGAAGAGTTACAGTGTTCTAATTTTATAAGTAATTGTCAGGAATATGCTGCTTATTTTTGATTTCCTATAGTTCCTGCCTTTGTTTTGTTAAATATCTTTTTCTCCTCTTAGGACCACAAAGTTGAAGAATTTGTCCAATGTATGTTTTACTCTGTTCTTATAATCAGTTATGAAATGTTACTTCGTTCCCTGGATCAAATTAAGAATATAAAATTTGATCTTCTAATCTGTGACGAGGGGCATCGTTTAAAGAATAGTGCTATTAAGACCACTGCCGCCCTCATTAGCCTGTCCTGTGAGAAAAGGATAATTCTAACTGGTCAGTATTCACTTTGGGAAAGATAGAATGGAATTTTTACCTGGCAAACAGATAAGACTTACAATATGATGCTTAGCCTCCAAAGAATTGGGTTGCATGGAGTGCTAAGTGATTGAGTCTTCCTGGAGGGGTTTTGAATCTTCAGATTTCTGTGTGGTTTTCTGCAGCCAGCATCTTGGGGATTTTGAAAGAGAAACACAATGGTATCATGGTAAGGAATATAGGAGGTGGGACTAGACTGCCTGTGCTTGGTTGCCCAGTGTGACATTTACAGTTATGCAACTTTGGGCAAGTTGGTTAGCTTTTTCATGCCTCAGTTTCTTTATCTGTAAAACAGGGATAATACCTGTTTCACAGAGGCATGAAGCTCAGAGGGGTGAATCTGTGTAAAGTTCTTTGAACATTATCTGGTAAGTGTTGAATATCCCTGTCAGTTATTTTAATACGTGTATGCTATACAAGACAAACCATATGTAAATGTAAGAATAGTTTTCTGCCTGTTTCATTTTGCTTATATTCTAGATTAGAGTTAAGTCTGAGTAGCTCAAAGTAGCTTTTCTCCCATACCTCACCTTTGTCTTGTATGACCCTTAAAATTTTCCATTCTGGCAGCAGCAGAAGAAAGAAAATGATGACTAGTGTTTATGCCCTGTCCATTTTTCTATGCAAAGCTCCATTTCCATACCATCTTTAACTGTTCCAGAAGGAATGGGCAGGCATGATTTTCCTTGCTGTATCATTTTGTCTTCCATGTATCCTTTTTTTTTTTTAAAGATTTATCTATTTATTTGAGAGACAGAGTTAGAGAGACATCTTCCATCCGCTGGTTCACTCTCCAAATGGCTGCAATGGCTGGAGCTGGGCCAGTCCGAAGTCAGAAGCCAGGAGCTTCTTCTAGGCCTCCCTTGTGGATGCAGGGGCCCAAGTACTTGGGCCATCTTCCGGCCATTAGCAGGGAGCTAAATTGGAAGTGGAGCAACTGCGACTTGAACCAGTGCCCAAATGGGATGCCAGCACCACAGGTGGAGGCTTAACGTACTATGCCACAGTGCCGGCCCCTTCCATGTATCCTTTATACATGTCAGAGCTCTGTCTGAGTTAAAATTTGTTTCCCCTTTCTACATTGATAGGGTAGATGAAAGTGCTCCAGGGTGACAGAGAAGAAAATCCTCCCCTCCCCTTGTTCTTATTGAGTTGGAGTGGGAAAGGTACCCATCTTTAAATATACTCATAGTCTTGCATGGACATTTAGCCTAGCTGTTAAGATGCCTGCATTCCATATTTTACTACGTAGGTTTGATACCTTGCTCTGGCTCCTGATTCTAACTTCATGCTAGTGTAGACCCTGGGAAGCAGTGGTGATGGCTCAAGTAATTGGGCCTGCCACCAAAGTGAGAGACTTAGATTATATTCCTTGTCCTTGGCTTTGTCCCAGCCTTGTCAGTGTGACATTTGGGGAGCAAACCAGCAGATGAGATTTCTCTGTCCTGCTCTCTTACTCTATGTCTCTCAAATAAATATATAAAATGAAAAAAAAATTCATAGTCATTTGACTTTCAATTTGTGTGGGATTATAATAACAATTATCTGAAGTGATTTTTAAAGAAGATTTATTTATTTGAAAGTCAGAGTTCTGGTTACCTGCTGGCGATTAGTGAGATAGTTTTGTTGGAGGGGTCAGCACTGTTCCCTGTAGCCTTACTTTGTTGGTCTTAGCTTGTTTCTGCTTTCCTCTTTGTCACTGTCACCCCATGAGCTACGAATTTAGGTGAAAACTAGCCCTAACTAACTTTTTACGTGTAGAAATACTTGTGGTTGGTTTTCATCTCCTCAGCATTGCCTGAATGAATTCTTTACTATTTTAGTGGCAGAATATTTCATTCCTGAGATGATTTACTCCTTACTCATTATCAGAGTATACATCTGTATATGAAAAGTGCTGTATTCATGATGGATGCTCAGTAACTAAGAATCAAATGAAAGAAATTTTGATTTTGTTTCCTAGTATTATCTAGCCCAGTGCTGTGGAAAACATTCAGTTACTATTTACTGGAAAATGGTAGAATTCAATTTGATTAATAGAGATGTATTAGTCTACTGGGGCTATCATAATAAAATACCACAGACTGGGTAGTTTTTCATCAGAAATTTATTTTGTCAGAATTCTGAAGGGTGGAAGTCCAAGATCTAGTCACTGTTCTAGTATCATATGTGGATTGATTACTTTGATCATCCCAACTCAGGAGCTGCTGTGGCTACCCCATGTGTACAGACCTCAAGCAAGAGTAGCTCGCTTAGGTCTCTCGGAAGTAAGTGATGCAATAGGGGAACCCAGGTAGTCAGGCTTTAGAGCACAGTCTGCCCCTGTGCTGTTCGATATGTTAATTTAATACGCAGTCAAAATCTGCCTTAAAAATTTCTGTGTTTGTTAACTTTTTAAAAAACTTAATTTGGCTGTTTTTTTCTCAGTTTAGGGAATTTACTTGTGTTCATTCCTCTAAGAGAAGAGAGTGCAAATTTCAATAAAGAACTGTGATTGTAAAATACAGACTTTACCTTCTCATCACTTTTATCTCTAGGTACTCCAGTTCAGAATGATCTCCAAGAATTTTTTGCACTGATTGATTTTGTAAATCCAGGAATATTAGGCTCTTTGTCATCTTATAGGAAAATATATGAAGAACCCATCATTGTATCAAGGGAACCTTCTGCTTCTGAGGTATAATCTACTTTAATAAACAAAATTTTTAAAATATTTATTTATTTATTTGAATGGCAGAATTACAGAGAGGCAGAAGCAGAGAGAGAGAGAGAGAGAGAAAGAAAGAGAAAGAGAGAGAGAAAGAAAGAGAGAAAGAGAGAAAGAAAGAGAAGAAAGAAAGGAAAAGAAAGGAAAAGGAAAGGAAAGGAAAGGGAAAGGGAAAGGGAAAGGGAAAGGAAGGTCTTCCATACACCGGTTCACTTCCCAGATGGCTGGAGCTGAGCCGATCCAAAGCCAGGAGCCAGAAGCCTCCTCTGGGTCTCCCACGCCAGTGCAGGGGCCCAGGGAGTTGGGCCATCTTCTACTGCTTTCCCAGGCCACAATGGAGAGTAGATTGGAAGTGGAACATCCAGGACCTGAACCGGTGCCCCTATTGGATGCCAGCACAGCAGGCAGTGGCCCTTCCTGCCGTGCCACCATGCCGACTCCAATAAACAAAATTTTTTTAACTTTTATTTAATGAATATAAATTTCCAAAGTACAGCTTATGGATTACAATGGCTTCCCCCCATAATGTCCCTCCCACCCGCAACCCTCCCCTTTCCCACTCCCTCTCCCCTTCCATTCACATCAAGATTCATTTTCGATTCTCTTTATATACAGAAGATCAGTTTAGCATACATTAAGTAAAGATTTCAACAGTTTGCTCCCACACAGAAACATAAAGTGAAAAATACTGTTTTAGTACTAGTTATAGCATTAAATCTCAATGTACAGCACACTAAGGACAGAGATCCTACATGAGAAGTGCACAGTGACTCCTCTTGTTGACTTAACAAATTGACAATAAACAAAAGAGCAGTATGTCTAGAAAAATTATCTGTAACTTGAATATTATTTTAACTTAGAAAAAAACTAATACAGTGAAACTCTTTATTTTTCTCAGTCTTTCATCTTTTCCTGCATTCTTTTAGAAAATGATTTCATCACTTGTCTAAAAATCTTAAAGAAGCATGTCACAAAGATTATAAGTGACAGTAAACATATAAAAATGTTCTTCCTTACCTACATCGAAAACGGGAAACCAAAATAACCATGAAGTAACTTTTGTACTTCCTTCTGGTTATTTTAGTTGGTTGGATTGGCATAGTAATAGCAGGAGTAAGTGAGAATATTCTCTTGCTAGTTGGAATTTGATTTGGTACAACCTGTGGAAAGTCTGACAATGCATATTAAGAACCTTAACATTTTGTGTATCTTGTGGCCTGGTAATACTACTTTTAGGAATTTATTATAAAAAAAAAAACAATGGGTTTGTTTTAAGAATCAGTTGTAACTGGAAAAAAAATGGGAACAAGCAAAAAGAAACAAATATTTTAAATGGTATGAAATGATTTAAATATGGTCTGCGTGTTGTATGTGCACTATATTTCATTGGATCAAGGATATCATTATTTCATATACTACTAAGGAAGACGTATCAATTAAAATTATAAGGCATTTTGGTTGTGAAAATCATCCTATTTCAGAGAAGTGAAAGTGTGAGGGAAGAAAGTATATCTGAGAATGAACAAAATATTGTAATTTGTCAACAAATAATTATAGAACAAGTCCTAGGAACCAGAAGCTATACAAAATAATGTTTTGTGTGAATATTTAATAGTATGGAACATGGTCTTGGTATCTGCTACAGTTTGGATATGAATTTAGGTGTCCCCTACAGGTCCATGTGTTAAAGGCTTAGATACTGTGGTGGCCATGTTGGGAGGTGGTAGAACCTTAAGGAGATGGGGCCCAGTACAAGGTCTTTAGGTCATTAGAGACATGCCCTTCTTGTAAGCCTATGTACTAAATATTCACATAAAAGCTTATATTTAGAATCAAGTAGCATGCGTATTGCTGATTTCTAATAGTTGTCCCTGATGCCAATAGCTAAACAAGGAAGAATTACAACACTGTAGCTTCATTTAATTAAATTATTACACTGAACATTTAGAGATCATGATTGCTTTTTCTGTCCCCATGCCTGTATTTCATTTATCCTACAGTAGATAAATCCAATGGTTTATTTATAAAGTCTTTATAATGTTCATTTTAACTGTAATTATTTTTGTCTGTAGCACTTTTATTTAAGTCTGTTATTTTTCTGTAGGAAGAAAAGAAGTTAGGAGAGAGAAGAGCAGCTGAACTTACTTGCCTCACTGGACTCTTTGTTCTTAGAAGAACCCAGGAAATTATAAATAAGTATCTTCCACCGAAAATAGAGAATGTGGTCTTTTGCCGACCAGGTGCACTGCAGATTGAGCTTTATCGAAAGTTATTGAATTCTCAGGCTGTCAGGTTCTGTCTTCAAGGGCTGTCAGAAAGTAGTCCTCATCTGTTGTGTATCGGGGCACTTAAAAAACTCTGCAATCACCCCTGCCTTTTGTTCAGCACTGCGAAGGTGAGTATTATGTGAAACTGTCCAAGATACGTGATGAGAGAGTTCTGTGGTGTATGAATCTAAGATGGCAGAGTGGGCTGTCCCTGGGATTGCAGTTGTGGGTTTCAGTAAGCTCTGCAGCCTTTCGCTCTATGGTTCTGCTCTCAACCTGCTGCAGCCTCCCACCGCTCTGGCTGAGTTTGTAGAACAGAACTGGGCATGAGGTAGGTTTGAGGCCTGCCTTCTAGAGTTTGTGCTCCAGGCTCTTTGATGTCTTGATGTGGTTTCCCTTTCTATTGCATGTTAATAGAGTCACTCAGTTTTGTTTATTTGGTGCTAACAAATGCAAAATTTACCATTAAAAAAATAATAATCCTTTTTTTTCTTATCAAAGTGATATGTCATCTCAAAGATGACAATACAAATTATCTTAAGCTCTCTGACCAGAGGAAAATCATATTTTGGAATAATATAATATTAACCAACATAATTATTAATAAATAAATAATTTAACCAACAATAATAATATTAACCAACAGTCATATACCAAACACTTAGTGTTTTTCTAGTGTTATTTTATTTATTCTTTATAAAACTCTACGGAGTAGGTAATGTTATTACCATCTTTATCATTTGGCCAGGAGATAAGGCTCAGTGTAATCTTAACGAAGAAACCTGATTTTAGTGATGCCAATGCTCACAGCCTTTTTTAACTAAATACATTGTCAAGATTTTCCAAAATTAGATGACTTTAACAAGTATAATTTTTAAATATCTGCGTATTTGAGGTATTTGCATATTTACTGAACTTAAGGCAGTTTGGAGTATAGTAAGAGTTATCTTATTATATTTGAATTTGATCTGAGTTATCAGTCCCCACTCTGCTACTTGCTAGTTCTTTAGCTACAGGCAAATTTAACCATGATCAAGGTATAGATGAGCCCTAGCTTTTTTTTTTTTTTTTTTTTTATAATCTGTAAAGCCTTTGTGTGTGTGTGTGTGTGTTTTTTTTTTTTTTTTACAGGCAGAGTGGATAGTGAGAGAGAGAGACAGAGAGAAGGGTCTTCCTTTTGCCGTTGGTTCACCCTCCAATGGCCGCTGTGGCCGGTGCGCTGCAGCCAGCGCACTGTGCTGATCCGAAGGCAGGAGCCAGGTGCTTCTCCTGGTCTCCCATGCGGGTGTAGGGCCCAAGCACTTGGGCCATCCTCCACTGCCTTCTCGGGCCACAGCAGAGAGCTGGCCTGGAAGAGGGGCAACCGGGAAAGAATCCGGCGCCCCAACCGGGACTAGAACCCGGTGTGCCAGTGCCACTAGGTGGAGGATTATCCTATTGAGCCGCGGCGCCGGCCGCCTTGGTTTTCTTATCTGTAAATGTTGATAATGTTGTTGTGACAATTTGATGAGAATTCTGGAAAAAGTAGTAGAACATGTAGTACTAGAAATTGCAGAATAACTATTATTACCTCATTATTTCCAATTTACCCAGTTATTCCAAACTTACCCTGAGCAATTTTTATTCTGTTTTTTTTTTAAGCTGTACAGTCATAATTTGCTCCTAAATAACCTCAAAAGAAAAACTGAGGATGTACATTATGGTTGAGGCCATTAATTCTCTATTTGGAAAGTGGAGTCTACCGATATTGGATTATATTTACTCACTTTGTCATAGGAAAAGTCAGCTTTGTGTAATTCTGCAGTACACAGTTACTATAACAACCTGTTAATTCTGCATTACAGTTACTGTAACAACCTGTTAAGTATTATAACAATTTATTAAGCAAACTTTTAAGAAGCATTCTGTATACAGTGACAAAAATTAAACCCATTAGGCATGAAGCCCAGGAAAAATAAAAGCCAAATTTTTTTTCCTTACAAGGAAGACCTTATGATGGCTCAGAACATGCCAGTTCATTTAGAATATCCTTGCACATTCCTGAAGAAAGAGACAAAGGGCTCTGAGTATGTCTCTGTTGTTGTCAAATAGCCACTAGTAAGAGGCACAGGATACTACAAGCTTCGAATAGGGTCTGTAATTTGTAATCTCAGAAAAGCTTTTCTCTTTTGTAGCTTATAAAGATCAATATAAAAGGGCTGAAATGAACCTTCTACATGTATAAATAACCTTTAGGCAGTGTTTTATAAATGTGTTCCTGTTGAAACTAGGTTGTTTCCCCAGGTCAAGCAAGGCGATAGGTCTCTCTTCAGGAAATGTGATTGTAATGTAATCAATATCAGTATCATAAATCATAACCAAGGGTATTGGGTTACATGCAGTCAGAGGAGAGTGTGTCCAGAGTACTTGATGTAAGAGTCTGACTGGCAAATCTCTGATAGTGGTGATGCTTCAGGCTGTCACAACATAAAGATATTATCTCCTAATTGATTATTAATTAGTGGTGTATATTATAATGCCTTGGGAAATGTAAAAATATTTACTTATTTTAAAGAGAGAGTGAGAGTGAAAGAGAGAAATCTCCCATCCACTGGTCACAAATATCCACAGCAGCTGAGGTTGCGACTGGTGAAAGCCAGGAACTGGGAACTCAGTCCAGGTCTCCCACGGGTGACAGGGACACAGCTACCTGAGACATCAGCTGCTGCTTCCTGGAATGCACATCAGCCAAAGCTTAGAATCCAGAGTGGAACTGGGACTTGAACCCAGGTACTCTGCTATGGGGTGTGGCTGTCCCAAATGGCATCGTAATTGCTATCCCAAACTCTTGCCTTCAAGGAAACTTGAAACTACATTTGTCCAGGCATCAAGAGATAGAATTTGATTCAGAATGTCTGACAAAAGGACACAGGAATGAGGATTTTCAAAAAGCTTTCCCTAGGGGTGAGTCTTGTGGCACAGTTGGTTAAAGGGCTGCTTGGGGTACCCACAGGCTATAGTGGAGTGCTTAGTATCAAGTCACACAGTAACTTTTTTTTTTTTTTTTTAAGATTTATTTATTTGAAAGGCAGAGTTACACAGAGAGAGAAGGAGAGGCAGAGAGAGAGAGAGAGAGAGAGAGAGAGAGAGAGGTCTTCCATCTGCTGGTTCACTCCCCAACTGCCCACAATGGCTGGAGTTGTGCTGATCCAAAGCCAGGGGCCAGGAGCTTCTTCCCAGTCTCCCACGAGGATGCAGGGGCCCAAGGACTTGGGCCATCTTCCGCTGCTTTCCCAGGCCATAGCAGAGAGCTGGATCGGAAATGGAGCAGCTGGGACTCTAACCGGAGCCCATATGGGAAGCCGGCACTGCAGGCAGCGGCTTGACCCGCTATGCCACAGCGCCAGCCCCACACAGTAACTTCTGATTCAGCTTCCTGCTGCTCAGTAATTGGGTTCCTGTGATCTACATGGAAGGTCCAGTTGAGGTTTCTAGCTCCTGGCTGCTGAGGTTCCAAGCTCTGCTTGACCCATCCTCAGCTCAGCTCTAGTTGGGGGAATGAACCAGTGAATGGAAGATCTCATGCTGCATCTCTCTGTCTCTCTATGTCACTCTGCCTTTCAAACAAATGAATAAATCTTAAAAAAAAAACAAAACACCTTAACCTAGTAATTGTGATTACATGTTTCTAGTTAATAACTTGGGGTGGGTGTTTGGTGAGTAGTTAAGATGCTGCTCGGGATATCAGCATCCCATATCAGAATGCTTGAGTTAGAGCCCTAGCTGGACTCCTGAGTCAGCTTCCTGTTAATGTGCACCATAGGAGGCAGCGGTAGTGGCTCAAGTAATTGAGTCCCTGCCACCCACATGGGAGAGGTGAATTTAGTTTCTGGCTCCTGGCTTCAGCCTGGCCCAGCCCCAACTGTTGTGGGCATTTTGAGAGTGAACCAGTGGATAGGAGCTGTCTATCTCTCCTTTCTGCCTATCTTTCAAATTAATAAAATAAATAATAATAATTAACAAAACAACTTGGGTATTAAGCTCATTTATCTCCATTGTATTCCGATGTAATGTTCACCAGACAGCTTTGTGCTGGTGATTTGGCTTCCCCTGGTACCCTCTTTCAAAGCACAGAATGCCTAGACCAATTGGTTAAATAGGCAGGTCTCATTTCATTCATTCAGTTCAGTAAATCTTCATTCTGCTTTATTTGATCTATTAATTTGGTGAGGATGAATCATTTCCCTAGCTGTATCTGAACACGAATATCTGTAGTCTAGACACTGGGGGTATGGTCTTTGATGACCTCTCCAAGTTGTAGGCATTTTGGCAGAAATAACCATAGGCAGTCAGCAATTGTCTTGCCCCCTCATGTCCCCGTGATATAAATATCTTAGGGTTCCAAGTATTTTTTTAAAGATTTATTTATTTGAAAGACAGAGTTACAGGAGATGTAGAGGCAGAGAGAGAGGTCTTCTATCCGCTGTTTTACCCCCTAGATGACTGCCAATGGCTGGAGCTGCGCTAATCTGAAGTCACGAGCCAGGAGCTTCCTCCAGGTCTGCCACATGGGTGCAGGGGCCCAAAGACTTGAGCCATCCTCCATTGCTATCCCAGGCAGTAGCAGAGAGCTGGATCAGAGGAGGAGCACCCGGAACTCGAACCGGCGCCCATATGAGATGCCAGCACTTCAGGCCAGGGCTTTAACCCATTGCACCACAGCACTGGCACCAGAGTTCTAAGTATTTTTTAAAAAATATTTATTTATTTGAAAGGCAGAGTTAGAAAGGAAGAGAGATACTTTCCATTCACTGAATCACTCTCCAAATGGCTGCAGTGGCTGGGGCTGGGCCAGTCTGAAGCCAAGAGTCAGGTGCTCCATCCAAGTCTCCAATATGGGTGGCAGGGACCATGCACAGGTGCCTTAGCAGAGAGCTGGATTGGAAGTAGAGCAGCCGAGACTCGAACCTGTGCTCATATGGGATTTTGGTGTTGCAGGCAGTGGCTTAATGTGCTGTGCCACAATGCCAGCCTGGATTCCAATTATTTTTAATCAAGTAACTTTACCTAAATGTTGCTATATTTGAGAGTAGGCCAAATTATAGTTCTTTGTGTTTAGCATTTTACACTACAAGATTCACTGTCCTTAAGTATTTAAAGTACTATTCCAAGAGGGAATACAACATGCCCGAAAACATTAGGAAAGTATGATAAAGTACATAGTTAACTGCTTAAAGCTGAAAAGGTCAAAAGCTGAAATACACCGTGTTACTATAAAGGTTAAGACTCAATGCAGAAAAAAAAAAAACCATGAATAATCAAATGGAATTTGCATTTGGTCCTCATGTATCTATAGGATTGGGATAATTTGGCAGAAAATGAGAAGGCATTTCAGGTAGGGAATATGGGAAAGAGAAACCGACCAATCCTAAGAATTTAGCCTAAAAAGCCAGATAGTTGTTTACAACTCTAATCTCCATTTATGTGTCTGAAACATCAGCAAGGCAACTTTGGAGGGAATATTTCAGAAGTCTGATGATCACTTTGGAGTGAAATCATCCTCAAAAATTACTAGTAACAAACAGAAATAAGTGAGAATAAATTTCTCCATTAATTTTCTGGTGAAGCTGCCTTCTTACAGAAGAAGCTAATAAGTAGACTGTTGCTCTTGTTTTTGAATATCCCCTGGGAGATGCTGTGGGAAGCCCCAAAATCAGGAGAGGAAGGTAGGGAGTTAAGGAGAGAAAGTGAAAGTGAAAAAGAGGTGTCGATGATGGTGGAGTTAGGGTTTTGGAGAGGGCTGATTTTGTATTGCTTTTGCCCTTGCTTTCTCTTGTCTTTCTCAGCCCACAGTCCCCCCTGGTTAACACTGGCATTGGGAGGCTGCATTGGAACTGCTCCGTAGTTAACACAATAGGATGCGTGTCACTTTTCTTTTTTTCAAAAATGATCAAATCATAACTTGTTAAGATTAGCCTAATAGCTTAGACTTTTCTGGTACATGTTAATCTTTTTTCCCCACCCCCCAATGATTTCGGTATTTTTCCCTCTGGATTTAAACAAAAAGTGCAAATATTAACAATCATTATTTTGAATAGGAAAAAGAATCTAGCTCATCCTGTAATGAAGATGAAGAAAGAAGTCTGTACAAAGGCTTGCTAAACGTGTTCCCTGCTGATTATAACCCTCTCCTGTTTACTGAGGAGGAGTCAGGAAAGCTGCAGGTGCTGTCGAAGCTTTTAGCGGTTATCCACGAGCTCCGACCCACTGAGAAGTAAGAGATCAATTTTATAAACCACTTCTAAGTGCTCATAGAGCCTTAGCCTGCGCTATGTCCTTGCTTCCCTCCTCTCTTTTTTAAGTTAGGAAACCTGCGTTGTTTTCTTCTTCGGGGCATGGTCAGCTCCCATTTTATAAACTTACAATTCATTGTATGTCTATAAATTTTATTTATGGAAAACTAAATTTTATATATATATATTAAGAAATCCTTAATGATGACTTTTTGGGGCTTGGGCTTCCATGTGGTCAAACATCCCCAAATCTGGCAGCACAGGGGAATGTGTAGGGCAAAGGCAAGTAGAGACCCCGTGAAGGGGATGGATGTGGCACGGTGGGTTAGACTGCAGTTTGGGACACCTTCATTCCATATTGGAGTGCCTGGGATCGAGTTCCACCTCTGCCTTCTTTTTTTTTTAAAGATTTATTTATTTATTGGAAGGTCACAGTTACACAGAGAGAGAACAGGCAGAGGCAGAGGCAGAGAGAGAGAGAGAAAAGTAGGTCTTCTATCCGCTGGTTCACTCCCCAGTTGTCCGCAACAGCCGGAGCTAAGCTGATCTGAAGCCAGGATCCAGGAGCTTCTTCTGGGTCTCCCATGTGGATGCAGGATCCTGATGACTTGGGCCATCTTTCACTACTTTCCCAGACCATAAGCAGAGAGCTGGATTGGAAGTGGAGTAGCCACGACTCAAAGTGGTCTCCATATGGGATTCTGGCACTGCAGGTGGCAGCTTTACCCACTATACCACTGAGCCGGCCCGCCCACCTCTGCCTTCTGATCTGGCTTCCTGTTAATGTTCCTGAGAGATAGTAAATGATAGCTCATATACTTGAATCCCTGCCAGCCATGTAGGAGAGAAACCTGGATGGGGTTCCTGACTCCAGGCTTCAGCCCAGCCTGGGTTGTTGTGGTTATTTGGGGACTGAATCAGTGGATGGGAGGATGGAAATCTCTCTCCCCCTCTCCTTCTCTCTTCTTCCCCTCCTTTTCTCTCCCTTACTTCCAAATAAGTAAAAAAAAAAAAAAAAAAAAAATTTAAAAAAGCATAAAATGTCTTATCACCTTAAATATGGCCTTTTCCTAATGGGGCACTGAGCTGGTTTCTGTAGATCTGTGACTGGTTCCAGAGAGCCTATAACATTTTTATTTTTGCCAGCTCCTCTGTTTTGAATATTATGTGATAACTGCTTATGATTAGTGTGAATTTAGCATTCTTACTTCCTCCCTTCCCTTTCTATCCTTCCAAGATAGTTATATCACAACTTTTGATTAAACTAACTTTTAATACTTACACTGTTATGACTCATTTGTTCATTTTTGAGCCAGTTTATCATGATTGTTTTTTCGTTCTTGAACACTGCCTTCCACCAACCATAGCTATATGCATTTTTTTTAAAAGCACAAGATACCAGATTGGATTTTTAATCTGAAGGAGTGATAATACTTTTTTTTAAAAAAAAAACATTTTATTTATTTATTTGAGAGGCAGAATTACAGAGAGGCAGAGGAGCGAGCGAGAGGTCTTCCATATGCTGGTTCATTTCCCACAGGGCCGCAATGGCCAGAGTTGCACCAATCTGAAGCTAGGAGCCAGGATCCTCTTCTGGGTCTCCCACGTGGGTACAGGGGCCCAAGGACTTGGGCCATCTTCCATTACCTTCCAAGTCCATAGCGAAGAGCTAGATCAGAAGTGGAGCAGCTGGGACTTGAATTGGCACCCATATGGCATGCTGGCACTGCAGGTGCTGGATTTACCTGCTACAGCACAGCTGCGGCCCCAGCTAATTGCATTTTTGCCCTTTTTTACATTGGTGTTGCTCTTTATTCTTTTTTTTTTTCCCTAAAGATTTATTTATTTATTTATTTTTGAAAGACAGATGTACATAAAGAGAGGGAGAGAGAAGGGGACAGAGAGAGATCTTCCATCCGCTGGTTTACTCCCCAGGGCCAGGCCAAAGCCAGGAGCCAGCAGCTTTATCCAGGTCTCCCACATGGGTGCAGGGGCCCAAGCACTTGGACCATCCTCCACTGCTTTCCCAGGCCATCAGTAGGGAGCTGGATCGGAAGTGGAGCAGCTGGGACTCTAAAGGGTGCCCATAAGGGATAACTGCACATCAGGTGGCGACCTAACCCGCTGTGCCACTGTGCTGGCCCTGGTGTTCTTTTTACAGCTGTTATGAAGTCTTCCTGTGCCCTTCAGTAAGTTTTCAGTATAAATTTCCTATTAGTCTCTCAAGTTCCTTTACATTTTCTTTGTCTTTTCCCTTAGGAGTCTTCCTCTACAATTTGAACTGATTGTTCTCTAATCTTGCTGCATGTTGTCATCCTGAATCCCATCAACCATCACCTGTCATTCCTCTTTCTTTTCATTTATGTTAGATGTCTTGTTTTTTGGGTTTCACACTCCCCTAGAGTATGTCAGGCAGTAATTTCCTAAGAAGAGAAAAGATAGGAGATGAATCGTTTTGATTTCCCGCACGTCTGAACCTGTCTTTATTCTGTTCCAGCAGTTGACTAACAACTTGCTTGTCTAGAAAATTCTAGACTGAAATAGTATTCCCTTAAAATTCTGAGGGCAGTGCTTTACATGTGTTAAAAGGAAAATGAGGATCAGTTAAATTTAACAGTTTATTTTGATTACAAAAAAAAGTCCTAGAACTAGGCAGCATTCCAGACCCAAGATGGTTGAAAATCCACTCACACCTCCCTGCCCATGTACAGATCACATTTATAGCCAGAGAAAAGGAAGCAATGCACAGAAACATCCTGATTGGCTGCAGTTAGTATTTGCCTTTTATGGTTCTGTTTTTTGGCAGCTTTTTAGCCTCAGATTGGCGGTTATGATTGGCTGAGACACAGTGGCTTGGTTACATGGGCATATTCTTTTTTTTTTAATATAGAAACATTTATATCTTTAAAAATCTTTTTTTAAAAGATTTCTTTATTTATTTGAAAGTCAGAGTTACACAGAGAGATAAGGAGAGAAAGAGAGAGAGAGAGAGATCTTCCATCTACTGGTTCACTCCCCAGTTGACTGCAACGACTGGAGCTGTGCTGATTTGAAGCCAGGAGCTTCTGGGTCTCCCATGCGGGTGCAGGGGCTTAAGGACTTGGGCCATCTTCCACTACTTTCCCAGGTCATAGCAGAGAGCTGGATTGGAAGTGGAGCAGCCAGGACTCAAACTGGTCCCCCTATGGGATGCTGGCACTACAAGTGGCAGCTTTACCCACTACACCACTGTGCCAGCCCCTAAACATTTTTTTAAAGAATTTATTTGAAAGGCAGAATTATAGAGAAGCAGAGGTGGGGTAGAGGGTCTTCCATCCACTCATTCACTCCCCAGATTGCCGAAACGGCTGGAGCTGGGCCAATCCGAAGCCAGGAGCTAGGAGCTTTTTTCGGGTGGAGCTTTTTTTGCAAGTGGAGCAGCTAGGACTCGAACTGGTGCCCATTTGGGATGCTGGCACCACAGGCGGTGGCTTTACCTAATATGCCACAGTGCTGGACCCAACATGGGTATATTCTTAGATTAGAGTATTCTTAGTGTCAGGTTAGGTTTTGGTTCACTATGTATGGGGGCTACTTTGCACCAAACTAAAATGGAGAGTTATTTATTTATTTATTTATTTATTATTATTTTTTTGACAGGCAGAGTGGACAGTGAGAGAGAGAGAGACAGAGAGAAAGGTCTTCCTTTGCTGTTGGTTCACCCTTCAATGGCCGCCGCGGCCAGTGCGCTGCGGTTGGCGCACCGCGCTGATCCGAAGGCAGGAGCCAGGTGCTTCTCCTGGTCTCCCATGGGGTGCAGGGCCCAAGTACTTGGGCCATCCTCCACTGCACTCCCTGGCCACAGCAGAGGGCTGGCCTGGAAGAGGGGCAACCGGGACAGAATCCGGCGCCACGACCGGGACTAGAACCCTGTGTGCCAGTGCCGCCAGGCGGAGGATTAGCCTAGTGAGCCGCGGCGCCGGCAAATGGAGAGTTTTTTAGGCCAAATTTATTTTGGTTGGACACATGCCTTCTAGCTTTTAAAATAAAGTACAGTGCTTTTCAGATTTCTATTCCTTTGCATGTAACCTGTTTTCTTCCCCCCTAATGAATGCATTAGCAGTGTTTCTTCATTCCTTATACTCTGAATTATAATCTTTATGTGCTTTCATGAATCAGTGCTTCATTCATTGTAGGTCCTTTTAATCTGAATATCTCATGTCTGGGAAATATTCCCTCTCTATTTTAAAATGATTTTTCTAAATATGATCCATTTTTTGTAATTAATTATTTATTTCAAAGAATTAGAGAGAGAGAGAGAGAGAGATCTTCTATCCACTGGTTCACCTCCCAAATGGCTGCAATGACCAGGGATGGACCAGGCCAAAGCCAGGAGCCAGGAGCTTCTTCTAGGTCTCCCACATGGATGCAGGGGCCCAAGGACTTGTGCCATCTTCCACTGCTTTCTCAGGCTATTAGCAGCTAGCTGGATCAGAAGTAGAACAGCTGGGACTTGAACCAGCACCCATATGGGATGCTGGCGCTGCAGATGGCGACTTTACCTGCTACGGCACAGCGCCAGCCCCATCCCAGCGGTCTTGGAATTGCTCTAAGTTTCTTCCATCTAAGGTGTCTTGGCAGGATATTACAGTGGGAATGAATTTGCACTGTTTCTTACTAGAATCCCCCTCTTTTAGCACTTATGTTTCACCTCTGTACTCCTAAGCAGCACGCTTCATTAGTCTCATTTTGTTTTCCATGTATAAGTGCTTCTTTGTTTTATCAATGATAGCATGGTATTTTTGTATTTTGCTTATTCTTCTGTTGATTTTAGGATGACTTCAGAGAGATGAATGAAGCAGAAAGGGCTTTACCCCACTGTCTTAAAACTCAAAGTTTAGATCCTGACTTTAAAATGAGTGTAAATGAGTGTCTGTGTTTTAGTTGTACAAGGTTACGGTTGCAAGTTCTATAAATATCAATGATAGTATTGATATTTTTTCAGATAAAAAAAATCTATGGCCTTTAAATTGTATGGTAAGAATCTTTCTTTTCAATTGACAGGGTGGTATTGGTATCCAACTATACTCAAACCTTGAATATTTTACAAGAAGTATGCAAGCGTCATGGATATGCTCATACAAGACTTGATGGACAAACACCCATCTCTCAAAGGCAGCAAATTGTTGATGGCTTCAATAGTAAATACTCTTCTGATTTTATTTTTTTGTTAAGTTCAAAAGCTGGTGGTGTGGGACTTAACCTTATTGGAGGATCTCACTTAATTCTCTATGACATTGATTGGAATCCAGCCACTGATATCCAGGTAGGACTATCTGGGCGTGAAATAGACATTATTGAATGATTGGAAGTAAAATGCCTGCTGGGTGTGTTCAGATGATGTATAATACCCGAGTGTGTGGAGCCCGTATTTCCTGTCAGGCATGATGCTAAGTCCTTCCCATCTGTTAAATTTTCACAACTACCCTCCAAGTCTGGGTGTCAGCAGGCCCATTTTACAGATGAAGATATGGAAGCTTGTTCTAGCTTTCACAGTTTATAAGAGGCAGAGGTAGGATTCACACCCAAACCTGTAGGTCTCTAGGTTCTAATTCGTTGCACAGTTGGGCCTTCAGAATGCTCATGACCTTCGGGAAGAAGAGTGCAGTGGTTTCCATGATCAGTGTCTGTGCTATAATAAAGTTATGGCGTACACTTACTTAGGGAAGTATTTGAGAAGAGGCCTCTGGTTTTCTTCAGAGTACAATGCGTCTTCATTATGAACACCTCAGTTGGTGTTTCTGTTAGGGCATCCTAAGACGCTGGATGATTTTACTATCATTTTACTATAGCTACTTCTCTGAGAAAAGTAGCTATACTCACAGTTATTGTCGTAAATGATAGTAAAATCATCAAAGCAAAAGTGTGCACAGGGCAGAGTCCAGTAAAGTCCAGCCACAAGATTTCCGTTGTTCTCTCTCAGAAACATATGGACACCATGTAATTCTCCCAGCATCAGTGAGTGACAACACATGTGGAGTATTGTCAGCTGGGGAAGTTTCCCCAAGTCTTGATGTTCAATTTTTGTTGGTGTTCAGACCTGTAGGCTTGTGGAGTACCTGCATGGCTGACTTTAATTACTCAGTCTCCAGTCCTTCCAAAGATCAAACTGATACCATGCCCAAGACCCTTGCCTATATCACATTGTTAGCATAAGCCATTTCATATGGCTCAAGGCTCCAAGCAAGCAACGACACTCTATCAAACAGGATATTCTAAGAGCTTAGAGGTGATCTCTTAAGGGTAGGTTGGAAGCCAGACTTTATTATTGGAATGTGCAGGTTTTGGGCATCAACCCTTTACAGTATCCTGATAATCCTTGAACCTCAGGGACGTACTTAGAGGCTGAGCTGATTGCATATGTTCTAACAACTTCTCAGGGATGAATCATTAGCCACGTGGACAGGGAATGGACCCTCCCTGCCTGTGCTACACTTGGTTCTTTGCATCCTTGCTGTCCAAATTTGCTGCTCTGTTCGTTAATGAAGATGCCCCCCCTCCCCCCACCCCTGCATTGCATACCAACCCTTAGTGAGGGGTTTTTTAACAGCACCTTAAGTGTTCAACCATCCCTTTATTTATTCTAAGAAAAAGATAGTAAGACATTCTTGGGGGGATGCCTAGGCTTTGTGTTTTGAAGCTATATATGGATTAGAATTCCTGATATTAAGGTGCATTTCGGGTGTGGAAATGGCCATAAATTTCTACCGTCCTTTCAGAATTCTCTTGTATTTCCCACAGGCAATGTCTAGAGTATGGCGAGATGGTCAGAAACATCCTGTACACATTTACAGACTGCTAACCACAGGTAAAATCCCTTCTGTGTGGCAAAAAAGGGATAGCCTTGGGGTAATCAAAATGATTTTTTTTTGGTTAGTCTTTGCCTCAGTGTTAAGAGTATGTTGTTATTTTGTGAAATTTATGCCAATACATATGTTTTGCCCTATAGCAATAATATACTTAAAAATATGAAGGAAATCTAATGACTGTTTTCTCTTCAGGTACAATAGAAGAGAAGATCTACCAAAGGCAGATCAGTAAGCAGGGTCTCTCTGGGGCAGTTGTAGACCTATCTAAGACGTCTGAACACATTCAGTTTTCAGTAGAGGAGCTTAAAAATCTGTTCACATTGCATGAAAATTCAGACTGTGTTACTCATGACCTGCTTGACTGTGACTGTACAGGAGAAAAAGATCGTACAGGTTAGTTGTGTTTTATTCTGTAACTAAAGGAAGATTAATTTGCCTCTATTTGGCCGCTGAAAATATTTAAATAAAGAATAAATATTTACCATTTGGTATATATTAGTTCTCCTTTTTCCCTTGGGTCACAACACAACTACCAGATATTTGCAAAAATATTTAGTAGAACCATATTTTCCGGCTGGCACCGTGGCTCAATAGGCTAATCCTCCGCCTTGCGGTGCCGGCACACCGGGTTCTAGTCCCGGTCGGGGCGCCGGATTCTATCCTGGTTGCCCCTCTTCCAGGCCAGCTCTCTGCTGTGGCCCAGGAGTGCAGTGGAGGATGGGCCAAGTGCTTGGGCCCTGCACCCCATGGGAGACCAAGAGAAGCACCTGGCTCCTGGCTTCGGATCGGTGCGGTGCCGGCCGCGGCGGCCATTGGAGGGTGAACCAACGGCAAAGGAAGACCTTTCTCTCTGTCTCTCTCTCTCACTGTCCACTCTGCCTGTCCAAAAAAAAAAAAGACAAAAACAAAAATCATATTCTCTCATATTCTCTCAGCTTCTTATTTCGAATCATTGTGAAAAATTTGACTCTTTAAAGAATTCATTCTAGTTATTTGAAAGCCGGAATCTCTGAGAGAGAGAGAGATATCTTCCATCTGTTGGTTCACTCCTCAAATGGCTGCAATGGCCAAGGCTGGGCCAGGCCAAAGCCAGGAGCCTAGAGCACCTTCTGGGTCTCCCACTTGGGTGGCAGATACTCAAGTACTTGGGCCATCTTCTTCTGTTTCCCAGATGCATGAGCAGGGAGCTGGACTGGAAGCAGAGCAGCTGAGACTCAAACCAGTGCTCTGATAAGGAATGCCAGGGTTGCAAGCAGTGGTTTAACCTGCTCCACAACAAAGTCAGCTCCCAAATACAACTTATTCGTGAAAATATTTCAAATCTTGGTATAATGACTTCAGAATTATAAAAATGTTTTTAATTCTTATTTCCATTTTATGCAAAACATCTTAATTTTTTTAATATTGTAAGGAACTTCTTATGAAATAATATTTTCTGAGGCACTTAGCATGGATAGCCATATCTCTTAATATGTGACGAATGGATAGTGCTGCTTATGTAAAGCTCAAAACACCCACTGTCCAGAATTAGAACTTTTCAGATCAGGAGTGCAACCTAGTACGCAATGTCCAGTAATTGAAAGTCACTTGATAAATTGTATCAAGATAGGTTTAAGAAGTTAGACTATACAAGACTGACATGGAAGAATTTGTATTTTCTATAAACAGATAAAATACATTACTCAGTAGTCTTATTTATAGTATAATTTACACATGATGATAATCCTATAGAATCATAATATAGGAATAATATGAAATATATATTAGTAAAGTCTGTACATATGATATTTTAGTAGGTAGATTTTAAACTTATGAAATGTTTTCAGGTTTTCTTTCATGAATATTTTGGTAACTTTAAAAAATTAACATTTGATTCTATTCTGTGTTTTTTCTGTTTTAATAATTTTTCTTCTTCCTGTTTCCTTTTAGTTACTCTAATGTTCTTTTTCTACTATTTTTTAGTTCAGTACTTAACAGTGCTCTTCAGCCTTATTGTCTTTTTTAAAGGTTTGTTTATTTATTTTGAAAGTCAGAGTTACAGAGGGAGATATTTTCCATCTACTGGTTTACTCCCCAGATGGCTGCAATGGCCAAGAGCTTCATCCTGCTTTTCCCAGGCCATTAACAGGGAGGTGGATTGGAAGTGGAGCAGCCAAGACTCAAACCAGCGCCCATATGGGATGCTGGCATCACAGGCGCCAGCCCCCAGCTTTCTTTTCTAAAGGGGATATTTAAGACTAGTTTTTCATAGAAGCTGAATTCCATAATTTTGATGTGCAGTTCTAAATGTTCTCTATTTTTATTATGACTTCTTTGATTCATCAGTTACTCAAAAGTATGTTTTAAAATATATTTTAATTTTTTTACTGAATTCTGATCCTTGTACTATAGTTAGAAATATGATCTACACGGGTAAATATAGAGACTTTGGTGTGTGGTTTGGTATGTGTTTTTTTTTGGGGGGGTACTATTTTGTGCATGAAAAATAGTGTCATCTCTTAATTGCTTAGTTTAGATGCTATCATAGTAGTCAAATTTTCTATTACCTAGTCAGTTTTTTTATTTTACAGATAAAATTGTGCTAATTTAACTTTTCAATTGATAATATATTTACATAACTCAACTATTTAAAAATGTAAAATATATGTGGTCAAAATTCTTCCTCCTATCCCATCCTTATCTGTCTGTCTAATTTCTAGCTCTTTTACTCCATAGGAAACCATGGTTATTAGTTTTTTGTGATTTCTTCCAGATATATGTGTTCATTTATATGCAGCACTACATAGATATTCTTGGTTGCTCCATTTCCACTCAGTAAAGGAGAGCATAGTATATGTATAGTTCTTTACCTTTTGTACTCAGTAGTATAACTTGAGATCTTTCTGTATCATTCCAGAAAGAGTTTTCCTCTTATTTCCCTGCAGCTATGTAATCCTGTGTTACTATTATTTTAAATTTATTTTATTTATTTGAAAGACAGAGTTACAGAGAGAGGTGGAGACAGAGCTAGGTCTCCTACCTGCTGGTTCACTCCCCAGTTGGCCACAACGGCCAGAGCTGCGCCGATCCGAAGCCAAGAGCCAGGAGCTTCTTCCGAGTCTCCCATGTGGGTGCAGGGGTCCAGCACCTGGGCCATCTTCTACTGACTTCCCGGGCCACAGCAGAGAGCTGGATCGGAAGAGGAGCAGCCGGGACTAGAACCGGCGCCCATATGGGATACTGGTGCTTCAGGCCAGGGCTTTAACCCACTGCACCACAGCGCCAGCCCTGAACTCAATCTTTAAGTTTTCAAAGTGTGTTTGTTTTTTTCTCTATCTCAAATCCTGCCTGCTGTTTGTGCAGTTCTAGTTGTTAGAGTTTTTGGAGGCCAGTATTTAAAAGGTTTTATTCTACTGTCTTCCATGACCATTTTCTACTTTGAGCACTTTTATCTCTTTGGGTTCTTGGAGTCCTCTACAACCAGCAGTGAAGGAACAGAAAGATTGTAGCCGCGTTGGGTAAACCAGCCTCAGAGGCTGCGTGCAGCTGCAGAGGAGGCTGGGAAATGTGGCTGAGTGCCCTGGAGGAAAGAGAAATGGATTTGGTGACCAACTCCTGGCCCCTGCGACACACGTTTTACATGGTTCAGCCCTTGCACTTCTCAGCGTCTCTTGCGTCGTTCTTGGCTTTTGCTCTCCTTGCATTAGGCTTCTGTCAGTCCCTCATCTGTGCCAGTGTCCCTTCCCTTCCGTAGTCTTCAAGTGTACTTTTCTTGGAATGCTTTACCTTTTAACCCGTCTAGTTCTTGCCTCCTCATTGCTCAGATCGTAATGGAGCATTGCCCCAGGCAGTCCCTCCCTTACCTTCTACACCAGGTCAGTCTGTCTTGTCATATGTGCTCAGAGTCCCCTGTGTCTTCCCTCATGCCCTTGCTTCTGTTTCTAATGCAGCTCTGAACTCCAACACTTGAGTTTAATATAGTCTAATCAGCTCTGAACTCTAGAAAGCTCAAAAGACCAAAAAGATTTTTTTCCTTCATAAATTTGCAACAAAATTCTTTGATGCCAAAACTTTACTTAACTTGATATGTTTATCAGTAGTTTTTATTTAACCTGTTTTTAAAGATTATTCATATAATTTGCTGTAGAATGTTAATGAGTTTGATTATGGAATGCCGACCAGATTGCTCCAATTATATCCTGAATTTGGAAGCATCTGGCATAATAGGCTTTATATGAAGGATGTGAACTTATAATAGATTCCTTAGATGATTATTTGTTTAATGTGTGTCTCTCCCACTAGATTGAAAGGTCCTTAAAGTCAAAGACCTTGTCTATGTCTGTTTACCATTTTTGCCTCTAACGCTTAAATCTGCCCATAATAAACAATGTATAAACATTCATAGAAAGAATGAGTGAACTGAATTTGTTTTAATTAAACTACAGTGATCCAATGTAGTAAATCACATAAACTCAATTGTAATAAAACAAAGATGTATATAAGGAGGACCCTGTCTCACTGTTCTACTTGTTTCAGGTGATTCACTGGAAAATTTTGCAGTCTGTAGACCTTGCCAGCTTGGTCCACATCACCAGAAATCCAGCTCCCGGAAACCTCTATCTATGTCACAGCTGAAGCAATGGAAACATTTTTCTGCAGGTCATTTAAATCATACAGATCCTTTTCTTGAAAGGATAAGAGAAAATGTGTCATTCTTCTTTCAGAATGTAACCAATCAAACTGCAGCTATAAAATGAGCGATTACTTTGTGACATTTGCTTGCCCATCTTTAAAAAACTAATATAATAATTTAATGTCATTTTTGAGGTTAATTATTTAAATTATGTATTTTGTTACAAAATGTATCCGTTTTATTACAGTCATTAAAATTGCTTGAATTGTTTTTATGTAATTTTCATTGTTGGAAAGGAAACATTAAAAATATGCTTCTGTCATCTGTGATTAATAGTTCTATGATTAGTGCATTTTTATTAAGTATCTACTGAAAAATTTTCCCAAGAAATATAAGGAAGTCCAAACCTCTGTCTTTGGGAAATCCAAACTGATGATGAGCATTATTAGACATAGGTATGTGTGTGAGACGACTGAAGAGACTTGATGTATTTATAACTCAAGGGAGAAAGAACCAGAGGCTAGGACTGCAAATGCTCAAGATGTTGAGTGTAATAGTTGCCACAGGATAGTTTGAATGAGAACAGTTAGTACTTTGGGTCAGATGAAGAACTTTGGGATAGTTCACTTTTATATAAATATATAAAGACTTACTTAATTTATTTGAAAGGCAGAGCAACAGAGAGAGGGAGGAAGAGACAGATCTTCCATCTGCTAGTTCACTCCCCACATGGCTACAACAGCCAGGGCAGGGGCAGGCTGAAGCTAGGAGACAGGAACTACATCCTCATCCACCACATGGGTGGCAGGGGCCCAGGCACTTGGGTCATCTGGTGCTGCCCAGCTGGTGCTCCCACGTGGTATGCTGATGTTAGAAGTTGTAGCTTAACCCACTGCACCACAGTGCCTTGTCCGCTTTGAAACACTAGTTCCTAGCCTAGGATCTCAGATTCATGGGAGACTGCCATGCTGTCATAAAGCCGTGTTCAGGGGCTAGCATTGTGGTGTAGTGAATTAAGCCACTGCCTGTGACTCAGGCGTCCTACATGGGAGGCAGTTTGTGTCCTGGCTACTCTATTTCTGATCCTGCTCCCTGCTAATGTGCCTGGGAAAGCAGCAGAAAATGGCCCAAGTACTTGGACCCCTGCACTCACATGAGTGTTGGATGTGTTTGCAGAACAGTGAAAGGCCACTGTGGAGAGGGTGAGCAGAGTGGGAAGAGAGGAGGTGAGAGGTGATAGTGATTGGGGGTCAGATGTTCCAAGGTGTGGGAGATCATTATGAGGGCTTTAGCACTTACTCTGAGGAGATGGTAAGCCATGGAGCTTTGGGCTAAGGCATGGCGTGATATGAACTACTTTGTGAGAACATTTGGTTTGAACACAGGATAGAAAGAAGGAGATGAGGTAGACTGTTGTAAGAATCAGCGGAGAGGTGATGGTGACTCATACTGGTGGTTTCAGTGGAAGTGTTAAGAAGTAGTTGGGTTCTGGATAATTTTAAAGCCAGAGCCAGTAAGATTCCTGAATGGACTGAATGTGGGATGTAAGAAAAAAGTCAAGAACAACTCCAAGGTTTTTGCCCTGAGAAAATGGAGTGTACTCCCTTAATCAGTAACCACGACTGTAGCTATTGCCAGGCACCCTTGATTTTTAATGTGATTGGCATAAACTTGACTCAGTGCACATACCCACCCTATAAGAAAAATTATAAAACCTGACACCAAACTCAAGCTTGCAGGATAGCCAACTTGGACAACCTACTGGTGGTTTCCGTGGTTAAGTCCTCTGATTTGATAAATTAATTTTGATTTTCCAACTGGACTCTGATTATTTCAGATGACAGTTGTACAGTGTAGGTAGAAAAGAGATAAAATGATTTAAGTATAGTGATAAAAATAACAGTTGCTAACATTTGTTAAGTGCTTACTATGTTCTAAATGCTAAATGCTTTTTGTATTAATAACCCTAGAGAAAGGTTTGGTATTATCTTGACTGAGTGTTAGTCCTGGTTGTGTAGAGAGACCCTCTAGGATATGTCTGTAGGTTTATGTCAGGGGATTTAGTAGGGCAACTGGCTTCCATGATTATGGCAGCTGAGAAGTCCCACAACAGGTCTTTGGTAGGCTGGAGACACTGGGGTATTGGTAATATGGCTCAGTAGAGGACAACAGCCTCAGAACCGGGGCTGCTAAGGGTGCAACTGTAGTTCAAGGCCAAAAGCCTTAGTGCTGGCAAGGAAGGCCAAGTCCTGGAGTCAAAGGCCAGTGACTGAAGTCCAAGGCGAGAGCTCAGTGTCACCACTCTCAGAATGAGACCAGCCCACCTTCTGTATTTACCCTCTGCAAACCCCAGCCCATCGGTGGGTCCTGCCCCCATGGAAGCCAAGTCTTCCCACACAGGTCACCCAGTCTCATATACTAATCTCATTTGGAAACCCTCCACAGACATGCTTTTCCAGGTTTCTGGGTGTTCCTTAACTCAGTCAAGTTGACACTGTAAAATTGACCACACTGTTTACCATCCATTCAATGCTATATGTTCAGTGGTGCTTGTGAAGTTTAAAGGAAATGAGCAGGGAGGTTAAGTAGACGGTATGGGTCGTAGCATGGAAAATGATTCTGTTAATTGCTTGCATCATAACTCCTCTTATCCTTTACTGGGAAAAACTTGGTTGAACTTGGACGAGCCTCTTAAGACCTTGGGTGTTTGTTGCTAAGTGCAGTAAAAGGTGGCAAATTTGGAATTTTGAAGCAATTTGAGAGGGAGGGGAAAGTGAGTGTAGGGTATCTGGTACCCGGTTACATAGAAAACTCCCAGTAATGGAAATGTTGGGTATTTGAATAACAGACATGCCCATTGTCCTCCATGAAGTTTGCTAAGTAGTGGGGGAAGTAATCTTCCCTCCATCTCTCTGATCCATTTTCAGATCTTCCTGAAAGAATACAATGTCACATATACTGGATGTGAGTGATGTTAGTGGTGGAAGTTTCAGAAGAGGCTGTTTTTTGTTTGTTTTTGTTTTTTGGAAAGCAGACTGAATGCTCCCATCTGCTGATTTGCTCTCCCATCTGCTGGTTCACTCCCTCAGATGCCCACAGCAGCTAGGGTTGAGTCAGGAGTCCAGAAGTCAATCTGGGTTTCCTTTGTACGTGGCAGGGGACTCAAGTACATGAGCCATTACCTTCTGCCTCCCTGTGTGCATTAGCAGGAAGCTGGTATTGGAAGTAGAGTGGGGACTTGAACCAGGCACTCTGGTTTGGGATTGTTCTGCAAATCCCATGCCCAAGGTTGAGTTTTATGAGGACCTAAGTGACTTGTGTGACTCAGTAGCCCAGAAACTAAGCACAGAGAGGAAAGCTTTGGTCTCATAGGCTGCGAGTTGTGTGGGTTCAGGCTCTTGTCATCTACATGTGAAGGCAGCTCTTCCCTCCCCTGTTAACATCTGGGTTGTCCATACGAGTATGTGGCAGATGCTCAGAGTCTAAGAATTGCCTCGTTTTCCCTTTTCTGCGCTCCTAGTTTGTAGCTCTGCTATGTTGTGCTGAGCACATTGATTGTAACTGCTTATTCACCTGCCTCCCTCTCTCATGAGGGGACAGAATTCATTTTGCTCATCCTGGTATTCTGTAGACCTTAGATGGTTCCTGGCACTAAGCAGTTACTTAGGAATCGAATGAATGGGGGTACTTCACCTCTTTTTCTTCCTTAACTGCACTGATTCAGTCCCTTGCTCCTAGATCTGTTTCCAAGTACTTGGTAGGCCAGTTGCTGAGTGTGCAGCTATGCTTGCCACTGAGAGTGCAGAGCCTGCAGGTTGGTCTTGCCTCTGGCAGCAGGCCAACTCTTCCCTTTTTGCTTCCATGGTTTCCATCTATCTGCTACGTGAGCTGATAAAAGCCACAATTCGTTTCTAATTACACACACACCTTTCACATGGCCTTATGTGATAATGTTCTTGCTCTAAATGACGATGCACTATGTTTCAATCACACTGTCATTAGGATACAATCACTAATGATGAATTAAACCGTGAGCAGCTCCTGACCCAGAGAAATCAACTTGTGGACGGCCTTGTCCATCCATTTAACAGGGTCTGTGATAGAGGAGCAAGTCAACACCTGGCTGGCATTTTGTTTGACAGGTGCAGTCATGACCCACACCCACTAAGCACCTTAGTGTCTTGATGATATGTGGGCAAGATTGAGATTCGATGACTTGCAGCAAACAATATGTATAATCAGCAGATGGCACTGTTTCTCCAAGTTGTTGCCAAATTCATATGGTGTGTCCTGGAGGGGTCTGTAGACATGTAATTTTTGATGTTCATGAAAGGACTCAACAAACGGATATTATTTTCTCTTACTTTGAATGATATAGATTGTTTTGGTTTAGACTAGTTTCCTGCTGCCCTCTCCTGTAGCCAGCTGTGTTCTTTGCTCCAAGCCATTACAAACCTCCATCCCTAAGACTCTTTGTTGTCCACAAAATCAATACCAGTTCAGAAAACAGCTTTTGTGATTAAAAAAAAAAATGTGCAAAGGGAGAAGCCTTATTGACCACACAGAATGGTTTGTTGGAATTTGTTATACTTGAAAACCTTGAGTGTTAAATGTAATTTAATCTTAAATTTTTTTTTTAAAAGATTCATTTATTTATTTGGAAGGCAGAGTTACAGGGAGAGAGAGAGAGAGAGAATCTTCCATCCACTGGTTCTTTCCCCAAATGGCTGCAATGGTCAGTACTGTGCCAGGCCAAAGCCAGGAGCTTCTTCCGGGTCTCCCACGTGGGTGCAGGGGCCCAAGCACTTGGGCCATCTTCTGCTGCTTTCCCAGGTGCATTAGCAGGGAGCTGAGTTGGAAATGGAGCAGCTGGGACTCAAAGATGCCGGCATTGCAGCTGGCAGCATAACCCAGTATGCTGTGTTGTCAGCCTTGTAATTTAATCTTTAAATTAAAACAATTATGAAAATGTATGAGCTCTTTCACAGCAGTTTAAAAATATTTGGTTGAGGCTGGCGCCGCGGCTCACTAGGCTAATCCTCCGTCTAGCAGCGCCGGCACACCGGGTTCTAGTCCCGGTCAGGGCGCTGGATTCTGTCCCGGTTGCCCCTCTTCCAGGCCAGCTCTCTGCTGTGGCCAGGGAGTGCAGTGGAGGATGGCCCAAGTACTTGGGTCCTGCACCCCATGGGAGACCAGGATAAGTACCTGGCTCCTGCCATCTGATCAGCGCAGTGCGCCGGCTGCAGTGCGCCGGCCGCGGCAGCCATTGGAAGGTGAACCAACGGCAAAGGAAGACCTTTCTCTCTGTCTCTCTCTCTCACTGTCCACTCTGC